GTTCTCCACGTCTCAGGTGACACTCATCCTGGGCCCCCTAACCTTTTCTCCACCAGAAGCATCTCTGCTGTCCAATCAGAATGGCATTTTTGAGCCCCCCCTCCCCTATGGGCTCAGCCCTCTACTTCAGTGCCCCGAGCCAGGAAATCACATTCCTTTCCCTCTAAACATGGCAATTACCCTCCTGCCCTGTAGGCCGCAGCATTTCCCTGACTGGTTATCACAAATTTTAAGATACTGGCAGAGACTTAAGAGAACAATCCTAAGAATTTGCTGTTTAAGATTCTTAGAGGGGACAGGGAGGGGTGACCGCCTTTCCAAGGCTGGGACCAGGATTTTATGTTGAGAGAGACGAAGCAGAGCAGCAGCCGGCACACTGATCACAGGAAAGGACGAACCAAACCGAAGTGAAGGAGGCCCCACTCCACTAAGGAGCCTCACGATTTAACAAGGCGATTCACAGAATGTTTGGCTGTCAACAGAGCTGGGAGTGACATTATGGCACATTTTGTTGACAGGTCTGTCCTTTAAAAGAAAATGCCAATTTGCTTCCTAAAGTGGCTGCACGAATTTATACCTCCCTCCACCCCTCCACCCCCCCAACGTGCAAGAGCTTCAGCAGATTCACAGCCTCTCTCAATTCTTGATATTGTCAGACTTTTAAACTGTTTTCAGTATGGTGGTGTAAGTTGGAATCTTGTCGAGGTTTCGATTTGTATTTTTCTCAATTACTTATGATTTTGAGGTTTTGTTTTTTTTTTATCGCGTTTGTTGGCTACTATATGTTTCCTCTAACAAAATTTCTAGCCATATCTTTTATCCAATTTTTGAGTGAGTTGCCCATGGTTACTGGTTTGTGGGAGTTATTTATGTTCTTGAGACCAATCCTTTGCCTCTGTGTGTATTGTGAATATTTTTTCCTAGTCAGTACCGTGTGGGACAAAAGAACTGAGCTCAGTGAGCCCAGGAACTCATGAAAAATAATTTAAAAATCTGTTTTGTTCATTTCCTATGCCCGAATTTTCTTTCAGAATATTATTGAACATCGCCTGGTATCATTTTAGCTGATCAGGCTTCTCAAAGTTTTATCTGTTTTGTTCACTTTTTAAAAGGTCAAACTTTTGACTTTGTTGAATTCACTATTTTTTCTTTACCTTCGGTTTTATTAATTTCTACTCTTATTATTATTATTATTTTTAAAGTGTTTTCTGTGTAGTTTGGGAACAATATTACTGCTTTTCTCTTAATTTCTTAAGATGGGGCATTCAACTCAGTACTTTGGAGGTTTTCTTCCCTTCTTACATAAGTATTTAAACATATAAATCATCCTCAAAATATTGCTTTTGTTGCATCCCATGAGTTTTAAAAAAAATATGTTTTTATTGATTTTAGAGAGAGAGGGAGGGAGAGGGAGAGAGAGAAACATCGATGGGAGAGAAGCATCGATCAGCTGCCTCCTGCATGCCCCCTACTGGGGACCGAGCCTGCAACCTGGGCATGTGCCCTGACCAGGAATCGAACCAGTGACCTCTCAGTGCACTGGGTGACTCTCAAACAACTGAGCCACACCAGCCGGGGCCACACCCCATGAGTTTTGATGTCACTTTTATTATTATCCAATTCTATACATTTAGATGACCCCTCTTTAGTATAGGTTTTATGCTTGTGTTTTGTACATCTATCCACTCTCCCCACCCATCTTGGGTCTATATGGCACAACCAGAAAGGGGTGCTACTGCCATCTAGTAGGTAGAAGCCAGGAAACTGCTACACATTCCTCCATGGTCACAACAGGCACCTTTACCCAGCCAGCAAAGAATCATCTTGTCCAACATGCCAACAGTGCCAACGCTGAGGAATAAGACAGACCCGTATCTAAGGTCAAAGAACAAACCTCACTACCTCAGCTTCTCTTCTTGCCCTGTTGTGGTCTAGCTAGGCAGTCTCTTCGGACACTAGCAGCCACACTGGGGTTGATTCGTGTTTCGGCTTCATCTCATAAAACTCAGGATGGTGTTTTGTGGAGAGTGGAACAGGTCAGAGGAAAAACGTTCACGGTGCGGTCAGCTCAGTTCCCAGGCCTGTCTGTGCTTAATTCCCGTGACTGCGTTCTGGTTGAGAGAAACAAGGGACTGAAAGTTTAGGGTTACATGAAATATGACAGAGGATATGTGTTTTCCTCGATCCCTTTTTTATTTTCCACACTATGTGCAGCCTGATGAAAGAGACCACCCAGAATGCCCTCCCCTGACATCGAAGAACAGGTGTCTTTAGACACGTCTCTGGCCTAAGTGTGCCAGCACAGTACCGGGAGCACAACAGATGCTTAAACACCGAGGATGCCTCCTAACCAGCCCGCTGCACTGACGCCGTGCAAGTGGTCATTGAGGTTTTGAAAACAGGTGAGAGATTACATTTGTAAAGAGAAAAATTACCTGCATATGGAAAAGGATATTTTCAAAGATATGCAGACAACCCAAAGCACACACCTTCCCAGTACTCAGACCACTGTTTAGTTTGAGTTTTTTTGTTGTTTTTTTTTAAATAAGATGTGAATGTAAGACCCTGGAGCTAGAAGTAGAGGCCCCGGCCCTTGACCAAACCGTGTCCATAACTAGCCAAGTGGCCTCCATTCATCTGTAAGGGGGGGGGGTTATCATCTTGGTCCTGCTAGTTTGGGGTCACTGCCAGGCTCAGAACAGATAAGACTTGTGAAATGGAATATGAATGTAAGGCCTTCAGAGTAAATGCTCTACAAAGAGTAAGATCACCATATAGGCTGGAAGACAGTAAAGACTTTATTGGAAAGGAACCAGAGAAGCTCCCCACAGCTGGAAAGATGATGCAGTAATCACGAAATGACAGAAGAATAGTGATGCCTTAGAGAAGAGATTACAAAAATACAGTAAACAGGGAAGAAATCTAGTGATTCATGCTTTAGGTTACTTAGAGGGAAAGCAGTGATCAGTTTTGCAAGCCTGACAAGCTGGCTGTAGGTCAAGGAGACCTAAGGCCTGCAGCCATCACAGAGATAATAGCAAATAAAGATGAAGACAACCAGCCTGAAGTTGAATACATCTTACCGCCCTACTCACAGCTCCTTTTAATCAAGAATGCCTGATAGAGCGATGGTGGCAGCATGCTGGGTGTTGGTGAAGCCTGGTTATTGTGGCAGCACCTGAAGAGGCAACAGGGTGATTGTCAGGTTAGTCTGTGTCACAAGATCCCATGGCGAGAGGATCAGCAACAGGAAGGCTGGCAGCAGCTGGACACACAGCAACGGTGGCATGAGGACACACTGGATGCTCCCAAATATTGGATGCCCAGGAAAGCCTGAGTGGCTGGGCAGCGCCTGAGACAGGAAAGGGTCCTGCACGCGGGCGAGCTCTAACGTGCAGCCCTTGCTGCCCTACCAGCTAGCTGCGGTGTGGACACTGACTTGGGAAGAACTCTGTAAGTAGGTGCTATCTGCATGCACACACAAGAGAACATCGCTTCCATTGTTAAAGACGCTCAAATGAACATCGTGCTGGTGCTCAGTCCCAGGACTTATCCTAACTTGTCTTAGATAGAAACTTAAGTGTCATTGAGCAGAAGCAAAAGACACAGTGCTGGGTCTGAGTCTGCCCATTTCAGCTACATAACATGACCCTGTGAAACGTTCTCATATGGAGGGTGGAGATAATTATTTGTTGGAGACTATATGAGGCTCAGGATGGATAATGTATATGATATGCACCATGTGTATACATTCTTATCAGGAGTGCTGCACAGTAAAACAAAACACAATATGGAATGCAAGGAGCAATGAGAGTGATAATATCCTTGAAGTAGCAGAGGCCAGGTGGCAGCATTTAACTGTAAGAGTCATGTGGGTGAAACTATGTTAACGGGCAGCAAGTTTGGAATGACAACGGGGGCAAAGTGATGTGTGACCCACAGGCTGAGGTCAGTGATCCCAATGGAAAATTATGATCCCTCACTCAGTTTCCAGACCTGAGACAGTTCTCAGACCTAGAGCCCACTGACTCACTGAAGGAGAGGCCAGTCCTCCAAGGCCAAGGACCGAGCAGGTGTATGTGGTAGTGATTGCTCCAGTCCTTTCCCAAAGGAATCCACAGCCACGACCTCAGGGGACACTGGAATCCCCATTGGATGTTGTTGGTTACTGGATCTGAGTTGACACTGATAGTTGGCAACCATTTGTAATATATAAAAAAATGTTTTAAAGGACACTGGTAACTAGATTGGAACACTGGTGTCTTAGAAACAGACCGCCAAACAGGGGTTCTAGATCTAGTAGTTTATTTGGGAGATAATCCTAAAAGACACTGTAGAGACCCTGGGGAGTGAAATGGGGAAGAGAGCGAAGCTTATATAGAATGATGTCATGAGCAGCTCCCTCCCGGAGGCAGCCAGGCGCACCCACTGAGGCCCCCCCTCCCCAGACCGGTACAACTTGCCCCACCCGAGGGGAAAGACGCCGGAGCGTTTACCCACCGCTCCCGCCCGCTGGCTGAGCGCTGCTCCTACAGAGGAGCTCCCTGCCGTCCAGAGCCTGCTTCTTCATCTGGAGAAAGTCCGCAGGCAGGGAGGTCAAAGTGTTTGCTGGAAGAAACCATCTTCCTATATTAAANACAGAGGAGCTCCCTGCCGCCCAGAGCCTGCTTCTTCATCTGGAGAAAGTCCGCAGGCAGGGAGGTCAAAGTGTTTGCTGGAAGAAACCATCTTCCTATATTAAAATAGGGATGCTGAGGGCAGAAAGGTGCACACCCTGAAATCACCAGCTATACTCTGCTCGCTGCAGAGGACAACAGGACAATGGACAACTAAGGAGGAATAATAATCAGACAGGATGCTGTTGTATTTGTATGCTCGGGAAATTAAGATTTATTTAAGATTTAGGGATATCTCCATATGAGAAAATCTGGCAGGAAAGAAATATATCAATTGGGATGACATGTTGGTTGAAAGTTCAGAGGAANGCCATATGAGAAAGTCTGACAGGGAAGAAATATATCAATTGGGATGACATGTTGGTTGAAAGAAGTCAGAGAAAATTCAAACTTCTTGTTCATTTGGGAGAGAGATAGTAACATGGGGGGGTGTATATTTGGAGGCCAAAGCCAGTTTAAGAATCAGTTGGAACTGAGGTTTTACAGTTGGCCTCTTGTGGCTCAGTTCAGTTGGATTACACTATGAAGATTGGTTGACAAAAACGAGGTGGGCACAGGTCAGGGTGGTTAGCAGCAGGAACCACTAGAGCAGACTGGGCGGCAGCAGGTGGTCTGGCAGCAGATGGGGCGGCAGCAACAGGAACCACAGCAAGAGGGGCGGCAGCAGCTGGACACACAGCAGGAGGGGCGGCAGCAAGTGGTCTGGCAGCAGATGGGGCGGCAGCAACAGGAACCGCAGCAGGAGGGGCGGCAGCAGCTGGAGCCACAGCAGGAGCCACAGCAGCTGGGGCGGCAGCAGGTGGTCCTGCAGCAGGTGGTCTGGCAGCAGATGGGGCGGCAGCAACAGGAACTACAGCAGGAGGGGCGGCAGCAGCTGGAGCCACAGCAGCTGGGGCGGCAGCAGCTGGACACACAGCAGCTGGGGCGGCAGCAGGTGGTCTGGCAGCAGATGGGGCGGCAGCAGCTGGAGCCACAGCAGGAGCCACAGCAGCTGGGGCGGCAGCAGGTGGTCCTGCAGCAGGTGGTCTGGCAGCAGCTGGGGCGGCAGCAGGTCTCCTGGCCGCAGCCTTGGCCACAGCCCTGGTCGGAGCAGACAGATCCACTACACGAGTTGACCATGGTGGCAGAGGGTGGAGGTTCTGAGTGAGTTTCCAGGAAGGTGGATTAGGAAGGTGAGTTTGGAAGGTTTGGAAGTCTGCTTGCCCCAGGGCCCCTTTTATACCCTGCTGAGGGCTGCTGTCATCACATGCAGTGCTCTTTCCTTGTCGTTGTTTGTCCTAATTAACGGGCCATTATCAAATTAGCCAAGTTTGTTTTCCTGGTTAACCTTTTCAAGATGGCTGGAAACATTGCTTCCTTTTCCTGATGTGTTAGGACTCCTCACTTCAGCTCTTCCCGAATCACCTCTTCTGTGCCTCTCCTGCTTCAGCTTCCTCCAAGGGAGCTGTCACGTGACTTGTGCCTTAGGCCGTGTCTGTGTTAGTCTCAGGTTGCACAGCCCAGCATGTCCCCTTGGGTGGTGAAGACTCTAACAGTCACCTTCTCCTTGGTGACTTGGGAGGGTAAAGCTGCATTTTAGTTTGATTCATGGCTCATTCATCGTGGGTCTGGTGGGCAGGTAAATTTTGAATGTGAAATAGGGCCTCACTGGCATGAGAATAGACTCTCATGATATTTCCCCTCCTGACTGTGAATCATGGCCCATTTTCTAGACTTTCAGGTGGGCAAGAAATAAATGTTCTAGGAGAAAAACAAAGTCATGAAATGTTGATGTTTCTTCTTTCCCTTCAGCTTCACTGAGGTATACTTAATATACAAAAAACTGCACATGTCCAATGTATACATTTTGATGAGTATGGACTAATACTATTTCCATAATTAAGGTACTAAATATATTCATCACCTCCAAAAGTTATTTTTTCTGTCTCCTTGCTTTTTTGTGTGTGTGGTAAGAACACTAACATAAGATTTACCTTCTTAACAAGCCTTTAAGTGTACCATAGTATGCTGTTAGCCACAACGTTGTACAGCAGATCTGTAGAAGTTATTTGCCTTGTATAACTGTAACTCTATACACTGAACAACAACTGTTTCCTACTACCCCCAGTCTCTGGAGACCAAAATTTTATTCTATGCTCCTTTCATTTATTTAATATCTCACATAAGTCGATTCATGCAGTATTTGTCCTTCTGTGACTGACTTATTTCACTTAGCATAGTATCTTCCAGGCCCATCCATGATTACCAATGGCAGGATATCCTTTCCTTTTTAAAGGCCAAATAATATTCATTTTCATTAATGTATCAGAGTTGGCATTCAGCGTGCAATTCAGGGTTTCATGGCAGAAAGAGGTTGGCAATAAGTATGATCTTATACTGAGGTTAATATCATGTGCAAAACCTTTGTCTTTTTCATTATGTACTGCGTTTATCTCTTCTTAGAGATGTGCAGGGGTTATTTATACGCCAGCAGTTCTCAATCTCTTTTTCTACCTGACACCAGAGGTAACATTTTTTTTGGTGAGGTTATACCTGGGGTAGAAGTGCTGAAGGTGAATACAATATTAGGGTGTGTGGCTAGATAAAGAAATACTCCCAAGAAGTTTAGGTATAATTACTCCTCCCCAAATCATGTGCCATATATTGCATTAGTAACTACTCTTTCAGATCTAAGAAAGGCCCTGACTTTCATCTTAGATTTAGTCTCTTGTGCAAGGATGTCTAAAGCTTTCTAAACTTGAAACAGTTGAGGTTTCCTTCACAGATGAATGGTGGAACACACACACTGTGATACATCCATACCATGGAATGCCTCTCACAAATATTTGCAAATATTTGCTCCCATTCAGTAGGTTGCCTTTTTGTTTCGTTGATGCTTTCCTTTGCCATGTAGAAGCTTTTTAGTTTGATGTAGTTTCACTTGTTTATTTTTTTTGCTGTTGTGTTGCTGTCAACTCCAAAAAATTATTGCCAAGATTTATGTGAGTGAACTTCCTGCCTATCTTTCTTCTAGGAATTTTATAGTTTCAGAGCTTACATTCAAATATTTAATCCATTTTGAGTTAATTTTTGTGTATGGTGTAACATTGTGGCCCACTTTTATTCTTTTGCATGTGGCTGCACAATTTTCCCAACACCATTTAGTGAAAAGGCTGTCTTCTCCCCATAGTGTATTCTTGGCTCTTTTGTCATAAATTAATTGATCATATATACATGGGTTTATTTCTGGGATCTCTATTCTAGTTCATTGATCTATGCATCTGTTTTTATGCCAATGTCATACTGTTTTGATTACTATAGCTTTGTAATATAGTTTGAAATCTGAGAGCATGATGTCTCCAGTGTTGATCTTTTTTCTCAAGATTGCTTTTGCTACTCAGGGTCTCTTGTCATTCCATATAAATTTTAGGATTTTTTTTTTCTATTTCTGTGAAAAATGCCATTAGAATTTTCATGGAGATTGCATTGAATCTGCAGATTGCTTTGAGAAGTATGCTGATGTGAGCACATTCCTTTTATCTATAGACATTTCTATGAGTTATTCTCAATTAAGAAACACATTAAACACTTATTTTCTAAAGCTTCATATCACTTAGGGAACAACTTCCTCTTTGAAAATTTTCCTGTAATTACAAAAACAACATAAACAACAACAAGAAAAGTCCTGCTCATTGGTCGCAACATTGGGGGTCCAGTGTATAAAAACCTGAGCACAGAAGAAGTCATCAGAATCTGAGAAACTCACTTCTGAACAGAAACTCGCCTTCTACTCCTGACACCATGTGCTGTTCTCCTTGCTGCCAGCCCACCTGCTGTGGATCCAGCTGTTGTGGGTCCTGCTGCTGCCGCCCTTGCTGTGTGTCCAGCTGCTGCCAGCCATGCTGCCGACCATGCTGTGGGTCCTGCTGCTGCCAGCCTTGCTGCCGCCCGACCTGCTGTCAGACCACCTGCTGTAGGACCACCTGCTGCCGGCCCAGCTGCTGCTGCCGCCCCTGCTGTGTGTCCAGCTGCTGCCAGCCTTGCTGCCGCCCCTGCTGTGTGTCCAGCTGCTGCCAGCCTTGCTGCCGCCCCTGCTGTGTGTCCAGCTGCTGCCAGCCTTGCTGCCGCCCCTGCTGTGTGTCCAGCTGCTGCCAGCCTTGCTGCCGCCCCTGCTGTGTGTCCAGCTGCTGCCAGCCTTGCTGCCGCCCCTGCTGTGTGTCCAGCTGCTGCCAGCCTTGCTGCCGCCCCTGCTGTGTGTCCAGCTGCTGCCAGCCTTGCTGCCGCCCCTGCTGTGTGTCCAGCTGCTGCCAGCCTTGCTGCCGCCCCTGCTGTGTGTCCAGCTGCTGCCAGCCTTGCTGCCGCCCCTGCTGTGTGTCCAGCTGCTGCCAGCCTTGCTGCCGCCCCTGCTGTGTGTCCAGCTGCTGCCAGCCTTGCTGCCGCCCCTGCTGTGTGTCCAGCTGCTGCCAGCCTTGCTGCCGCCCCTGCTGTGTGTCCAGCTGCTGCCAGCCTTGCTGCCGCCCCTGCTGTGTGTCCAGCTGCTGCCAGCCTTGCTGCCGCCCCTGCTGTGTGTCCAGCTGCTGCCAGCCTTGCTGCCGCCCCTGCTGTGTGTCCAGCTGCTGCCAGCCTTGCTGCCGCCCCTGCTGTGTGTCCAGCTGCTGCCAGCCTTGCTGCCGCCCCTGCTGTGTGTCCAGCTGCTGCCAGCCTTGCTGCCGCCCCTGCTGTGTGTCCAGCTGCTGCCAGCCTTGCTGCCGCCCCTGCTGTGTGTCCAGCTGCTGCCAGCCTTGCTGCCGCCCCTGCTGTGTGTCCAGCTGCTGCCAGCCTTGCTGCCGCCCCTGCTGTGTGTCCAGCTGCTGCCAGCCTTGCTGCCGCCCCTGCTGTGTGTCCAGCTGCTGCCAGCCTTGCTGCCGCCCCTGCTGTGTGTCCAGCTGCTGCCAGCCTTGCTGCCGCCCCTGCTGTGTGTCCAGCTGCTGCCAGCCTTGCTGCCGCCCCTGCTGTGTGTCCAGCTGCTGCCAGCCTTGCTGCCGCCCCTGCTGTGTGTCCAGCTGCTGCCAGCCTTGCTGCCGCCCCTGCTGTGTGTCCAGCTGCTGCCAGCCTTGCTGCCGCCCTTGCTGTGTGTCCAGCTGCTGCCAGCCTTGCTGCCGCCCCTGCTGTGTGTCCAGCTGCTGCCAGCCTTGCTGCCGCCCAACCTGCTGTCAGACCACCTGCTGCAGGACCACCTGCTGCCGCCCTTGCTGCTGCTGATCTTCCCACCAAAGAACCACGATCTTCACACAACACCTGTTAACTGACTCGCCAGTTTGGAAACATTCATGTCCTAGACTTTGCTGCCAACAGCATGCTCCACCAGGAGTTCTGTGACTCATTCGGCTGACAAAGCCTCCGAATCCGCGTGGTGGTGTGCGGAGGGCCCCCAGTCCTCCTCCTCCCGTGTGTGTGGATCGGGTGTCAGCTTCGTGCATCCTCAATATGGGGTCATGGTCTCTGCTTTGACTCTGTGGTCAGGATCTTCACCCTCTCCCTCCATGTAACTTAGAAAAACAAATTCTCATAATTTTTAATACGTTTTGCATGTGATAAATAATCTTCATAATCACATTTTCTATATCAGTGTACTCATGCTCCTTGTATCAGGCTTTCTTCTTTTACGATCACTTTGAACTGTATTCCTAAATGCAGGAATCTTACCTTTCTTTCTTAATAAAGTCTATACCCTAATTCATCCATAGTGTGTGTGATTTCTTATACAGCATTCCTGATACAGGGATTTAAATACATATTGCATACTATATGCATCATCCATTCTGAGCATCATAATAGCCCCCACAAAAATTATCTCCATTTTCAGGGGTGGAACCCCCCCCAGTTAATTGTTTAATGTCACATAGCTAAGAATGAATTGACTCAGATCCTGGAAGGAGTCTCGTGTTTCTGCTCAAAGGCACTTACATCTGCATCCCAAAGAAGCCTCCGGTTACTATGCCCTTGGCAAGCTGCGATGCTGTCATTGCTCAGGTCCCATAGTCGCTGGGCATGGACACCCTGAGACACTCTAGTAAATTCCCACACTCCAGGTATACTTCTCCCTGCTCTACCTCTCATGAATTATCCCTCACCAAATAGTGACTGCTTTCTCTGCTGCTCATCTACTGACACGAGGAGTCCAAATGGACCAGTGGCAGTTGTAAACTAGGTTATGTTCCTGACAAAAATGTGCTTTCCTAGGAGTAAAACCTTCAATCCAGGAGAATCTAAAGCATGATGGGATGGGAAGCACAGATTCCCAAGTGTGTCATTGCGGGTTAAAGTGTGAAGACTCACTCAACTTCCAGTCAACCCGTGTACACTACCATTTATGGATATAGGTGGTCCATTACATATATGTTAATGGCCATTGGGTTAAGGTATATTCCACATTCAGAAGACAATATATCAATCCAGCAGATTGTCACCTCTATGCAGATGTCTTTGCTGCACATCTAAGAGACCATTCCAGCAATTTCTCTATCATGTGATGTATGGTAGGACAAGTAGATCCATGGTTATGTGCCTATTGTTGACCTTGTTGATCATAGAGTGGGTCCCTTGGTCCAAAGTGATGCCATCCAGGATCCTATGACCATATACTGCAAGCTGGCGGATAGCACTGCAGCCAGGGAAGACAATTGCACAAGTCACACATGCAATCACGGTAAGGAAGAATTGTCCCTTCATTGTGGAAGTGATCTGTTGTAGAACACTTGGCTCTGTTTGGGGTGGTTGGTTTTCAGGAATGATGTTATTGATAAGGACTCACCCCTTGTTTACTTCTGACAACAGCGCGAACAACAGAAGTTAGTTTGTAGCAGTGGTGAGAGAGTCGTGCTGTTGGTCCACATAAAGCCTCTATTCCTGCCACCATGGCTCCTTTGTCCATGTCCCTTGTGCAAGTACTGGCACAGCTGACGAGCTAGAGGAAGTGTTATACCAACTTGTACTTGTCTAGTGCCTCCTAAGTGGTGGATACACTCTGGGGAGCATTGATGGGGGACAGAAAGGGAGAGTACTTTCTGCTGATGCACCATCTCCATGTACATGATTCTTCTCCAAATGCCTTTATCTTCCACTCGTGTCCCTTCCAGGGATGAGATAACTCAATTAGGCCTTTCATCCTTTGCATGTAGCCAACAAGCATCATTTTCTGAGGCCACCCCTCTCCCCCACAAAATGATACATACACACAACCATGGTGCTAATCACAGTTCTCTTCACTGTCCTACACCTCAGCACCTGCGGCTTCCTGTTGGGGCAGCAGGGACAGCATTTACAGCTCCGGTGAGTGCAGGGCGCGCTTCCTGTCTCACGTGCTGTCCAGCCGCTCATGCAATTTGTCTGGCCACTCTCGCCACTTTATTTAATATAGTATTGAAAGTCCTAGCCAGAGAAATTAGTAAAAAAATATTTTTTTAAACGAAGGCATCAAAATTGGAAATAAAGAAGTAAAACGGACTCTGTTTGCAGATGAAATTATGTGTGTGTGTATATATATAATACATAATACATACTAAATAATACACACACAATACATACTAAAGATGCCACAAAAGACTGTTAGAACTAATCAATAAATTCAGCAAAGTTGCAGGTTACAAATCAATATACAAAAATCTGTTGTGTTTTTTATATACTAGTGAGGAATTAAGATAATTTCATTTACATTTGCATAAAAAAAGAATAAAATGACTAGGAATAAATATAACCAAGAAAGTGAAAGACCTGTACACTGAAAATTAAAAATATATGTGAAAGGAACTGCAGAGGACACAGACAATAGAAAAGATATTTTGTGTTCATGGATTGGAAGGATTAATATTGTTAAATATCCAAACTACTCAAAGCAATATATAGATCCAATGCTACCTCTATTAAAATTCCAATGGCATTTTTCACAGAAATAGAATAATATCTTAAAATTTATATGGAACCCCAAATACCTCTGAGTAGCCAAAACATTCCTGAGAAACACGGACAAAGCTGGAGACATCTTGCTCCCTGATTTCAAACTATATTATAAACCTATAGGAATCAAAACAGTTTGGTACTAGCATAAAAACAGACACATATCAATGGGACAAAATACAGAGTCTAGAAATAAACTCTCATATAATGGTCAATATATTTATGACAAGGAGCCAAGAATACAAAATGAAAAAGGGACAGCTTTTTCAATAAATGGTATTGAGAAAATTGGGTACTCACATGCAAAAAAAGTGCTACTGAACCACTATCTTACAGCATACCCAAAAATTAATACAAAATGGATTAAGGACTGGATTGTAAGACTGGAAACCACAGAACTCCTGGACAAAATACATGGGCGATAAGCTCCTTGACAAGGGCCTTGCCAAAAACTTTTTTGGATATGACACAAAAAACAAAGGAAGCAAGTGGAACTACATCAAACTAAAAAGTTTCTGCACGGCAAAGAAAACCATCAACAAAATAAAAAGGGAAACTCCTGAAAGAGAGAAAATATTTCAAATCATACATCTGATAAGGGGTTAATATCCAAAACACATAAAGAACTTATGGAACTCCATTGCAAAACAAAAACAAAACGCACAAACCCACAGAAAATTAAAGAATGGACAGAGGATCTCCAATAAATGTAAATTAAAACCACAATGAGATATCCATTCATACCTGTCACAGTGACAATAAAAAAAAAAAGACAAGACCTAATGAGTGTTGAAGATGTGGAGAAAATAAATCTTTTCTCCACTATTGGTGGAAATTTAAATTGGCATAGCCACTGTGGAAAACAGTGTGGATATTCCTCAGAAATTAAATATAGAACTGACTAATGATTCAGCAATTCCTCTCTTGGATATCTATCTGAAAAATTCTCACTAATTCGAAAGATATATGCACCAACATGTTCATTGCAGCATTATTTACAATACCCAAGATAGGAAAACAACCCGCATATCAATGAATGGATGAAGGAAAGGGGCTACACACACACACACACACACACACACACACACACACACACACACACACAGAGAGAATATTATTTAGCCATGAAAAAGAAGCACATCTTTCCATCTACAACACCATGGACCTGGAGGGCATTATGCTAAGTGAGATGACTCAGACAAAGACAAACACTCTATGATTTCTCTTATATGTGGCATCTAAAAATCCTGAGCTTACAGGTACAGAGACCACATTGGTGGTAGCCAGTGGTGGGGTGTGCAGTGTGGGCAAGATGGGAGAAAGGGGCCAATAGATACCAACTTCCAGTTATGAAATGAATTAATCATGGCAATGCAATGTACAGCATGGTGACCATAGTTAATAATACTGTACCACATATTTAAAAGTTGGTAAGAAAGTAGATCTTAAAAGTTTTTATCACAAGAAAAGTAATAATAACTCTGAACACTGGAAGATGTTAACTAGACTGATGGTGTTGATCAATGCAAATATCAAACCATTATGTTCTATACCTGAAGGTAACATAATTTTATATGTCAGGTATACCGCAATAAAAAAATAAGCTAATATATAAAAGTAGAATTCAGAAGGCTCAAAATATCAAAAAGAGCAGGAGACAGTGTTGTAGTGAAATGTAGAAACACTGTTCTATTCTTTCTAAATTGCTGCCTATATGTTTTCTCTATAACATGGCAATTTCATGCTTACATGTGTCCCTAGAAGAGAGAGAGAATGGGGCAGAAACACATTCAAAAATTTATAGGTGATTATTTCCCATATTTGTTGAAAAAATATAAATTTACATATTTAAATTTAACTTGGCCATCACCTTATCCCACCAATTTGCCTCAATTTGTGTAAGAAAGTATGTGCAAGTTGGAATGTCCCATCTGAGATACTGCCCAAGTGAGAAAACAGAGGGAACATGAACGGACTGAGGCTCTGAAGCCCGGGGGCGGCTTCTGCGCCGTCCTGTTCGGGTGCTGACCTGCTTAGAGAAACAGCGGCCAAGCACCAAGACTCTCCCACAGGACAGGAAACATTTCCAGTCGGAGGCCGCAGGCAGATACGGGCTGAGCCTTGAATCCCACTTTCTGGGAATCAGACTCACGCAGGGCCTCAGTAATCATGGACCCGTCAGCTCCTGACCGCTCAGGGCACCCCCAGTCTAAACATGGCCCAGGGAACAACACTGAGAGGAGACCCCTGTTCTCATCTCCTTCAAACAGCAGGAAGTAACACGCGATCGGGTGGTGTCATGTGACCTGAAATGTTGCTGGGGAGGTTCCCGACTCTCATTTCTGTAAAAGATTCTTCAGTGGGATTCCCAATTACAGAGAAGACAAACAATAATTTATAGAACCCTCAAGACACAAAGGGAACAACTTCCTCCTTGACAATTCCACAGTAATTATCAAAACAATGAAAACAACAAAGAGAAAAGACCTGCTTATTGGTCCCAACGTTGGGGGTCCAGAGTATAAAAGCCCCAGGAGAGAAGACATCATCAGGATCTGAGAAGCTCACCTCTGAACAGCAACCCACCCTCCACACCTGACAAAATGTGCTGCTCCCCTTGCTGCCAGCCCACCTGCTGCAGGACCACCTGCTGCAGAACCACCTGCTGCAGGCCCAGCTGCTGTGGGTCCTGCTGCTGCCAGCCTTGCTGCCGCCCTTGCTGTGTGAGCAGCTGCTGCCGGCCTTGCTGCTGTAGCACTCCTTGCTGCCAGCCCAGCTGCTGTGGGTCCAGCTGTGGTGGGTCCTGCTGCTGCCAGCCTTGCTGCCAGCAAGTCTGCTGCTGTCCTGTGCACGTCTGCAGAACCTGCTACCACCCCACCTGCTGCTGCGTGCCTGGGTGCATAGCCTATGGCTGCGGGTCCAGCTGCTGCCAGCCCTGCTGCTGCTGATCACCCTGCCAGAGAACCACCTCCTGTCAACTGACTTGTCATTAAGGAAACAAATTCACCTCTGGACTTTGTTGACAGCCAGCATTTGGGACCATAACTTCTGTGACTCATCTGCCCGTTTAAAGAGTCAGCTTCATGCGGTGCAGGGGACTTCCATCTGTTCTCTTCCTCCCGTGGATGCGGATCGTGTCCCAGCTCTGTGCGTGCTCGATATGCAGTCATGATCTTGGCTTTGACTCTAAGTCAGGGTCAATGGCTCTCTCTAAATAACTTAGTCAAACAAATCTTCATAATTTATTCATAGGTTTCTGTAACTGAGTAATATTCTTCATGATCATATTTCCTTACAATGTACTCATGATTCCTGTATAAGGCTTTCTTCTTTCAGGATCCCTTTGAATTGTCTTATTAGGTGCAGGACTCTTCTCTACGTGTTGCTTAATAAAGTCTATACCATAATTCATCCCTATTGTGTGTGATTTATTGAACAGCATTCCTGATAATGGGGATTTAAATACCTATTGCATACTATAGGCATCATCCATTCTGAGCATCATACCAGCCCCTCACAATTATTATCTACAGTTTTAGAAAAAAACCAAGTTCATTGTGTAATGTCACAAGCTAATGATGAACAGATTCAGATCCAGGTCTGGGTCTTCTGCTCCTGCTCTGAGCCTCAGGTTACTACACCCTTGATAAGCTGTGGTGCTGTCCTTGCTCAGCTAAGGTTGTCTTCAGGCACGAACACACCATGAGACACTCCAGTAAATTCCCACATTCCACATGCACTTTTTCATGCTCTACCTCTTCATGGTAATTATTACTCAGTAAATAGTGACTGCTTTCCCTGCCTGTTATTCTACTGACATGAAAAGTCCAAATGGACCAGACTCTAGTTGTATAATTAGATTATGACCCTGACAAAAAAAGTGCCTTTCATAGAAGTGAAACTTCCAATCCGGAGGAGCCTAAGGGCATGATGGGATAGGAAGCCGATTCCCAAGTATGTTGCAGGGCATTAAAGTGAGAGGGTCACCCTTACTCTCACCCATTGCTGCTCAATCCATGGGTCCTAACTTTTATGGATATATATATTACTACATATATTTCAACCTAATAATGGTTATTGGATCAAAATATATAGCACACTTAGAAGACAATATATCAGTCCCATAGGTTGTCACCTCTATGGAGGTGTCTTTGCTGCACATCTAGAACCCCATTTCAATTTTTATCAGGCTAGCAATTTCTCTGTCATGTGATGTCTAGTAGGAGAAGTAGATCCATAGGACAAGTAGATCCATGGTTATGTGTCTACTGTTGACCTTGTTCATCATAAAGTGGGTCCCTTGGTCCAAAATGTTGCTACCCAGCATCCTATGATTTCTTGGGGCATAATAACTTTATCCATCCCCATAAACTAATAAGCCCATTTATGAATCACAATTATAAATGTAGTAACTACAGTTTTATAGTCATTTGACCAGTTGTGCATGATTGTCAAAAAGTGAAGTCAAATAATAATAGGAAGTTTATTGTCTGAGCAAATAATTTAGAACAATGGACTGTTTACTGGCACCTCCTGCATTCAGGTCAAGCACCTGCTCTTGCCTAAGGAGCTGGAAGACTCAGGTGCAATGTCCCCCTCTCTGTTCGGTGCTAGCTGTGCACTGCCCACCTTTGCCTGAGGGCCTCCCTGACTCTGCACTTCCAGGGTTCACTGCCACTCGCCATTTAAGAAACACACATTCATTCCTACAAGTCCGCACCCAGGGCAGCAGATACTCCGCTCATCTTGATAACATGCCTCCTCTTTAAAGTGCCTGCATAAATTGGTTCTGCTCCTGTTTGTGTCTTAAGGTCAATGTGAGAAGGGCAATCCTGTCATGTGTGGATGATATGACTGTGCATGTAAAATGTCCAAAAATCTATTAATAAAGTATTAGAAATAATAAGGGAGTTTGGTTACATGGTCAATATACAAACATGAATTGTCTCTATGTATGTCAGAAACAGTTAGAAATTAACATTTTAAATATAACATATACTAAAAAAAAAAATACCTAGGATACACTATGAGCAATTCTCTGCACAATTCTACTTGTAGATGTTTATCCAACAGAAATATTCATGTACATTTCCCAAAGGACCTGCACCAACACATTCACAGCAACACTGCTTTTACTAGTCCCAAACTGCTAACAATCCACATACAGGGGAGGGCAAAAGTAGGTTTACAGTTGTTCATATAGAAAATAACACAATAATTAAATATAATAATACAAGAACAAACTCTGTGTTTCCTGTACTCACAACTGTAAACCTACTTTTGCCCCACCCTGTATATATCAACAGTAAACAAAGCAATTGTGTCTGATTCATTTAGTGGAACAACTCAGCGAGGGGAATGAATAAAGCACAGGTAATAGATGGCCGAGTCTCACAATCATCATGTAAAGAGAAAGTGGTCAATTCTATATAATTTCATTCATATAGAGTTTAAAAACAGCCAAAACTTACCCACCTTTGGGAATGAGTGAACGCTCTAATTTGAAAAAGATGGGATATATTTTATATTTCAACCTGGGTGACATGAATGTGTTCACTTTGACATAATCTATCAAGTTGGAAATTAATAACAATTTACCAAGTTGGAAATTATAGAGCACTTTTTGTGTGTGTGTTTATTTTTGTTTAAAATATTACAGATGCCCTTTTTTCTCCCCAAGGACCCATTCCACCCCATCCCACCCCCCTCCCCAGTCCCTCTCCCCACCATTGTCCATGTCCTTGGGTTGTGGATATCTGCATATAAATTCTTTGGTTACTCTCTCCCCCTCCACCCACCCGCCCTCCTCCATCCCTCTGACATTCATCAGTCTCATCTATGCTTCCATGTCATTGAATCTATTCTGTTCATCAGTTTATTAAGTTCTTTAGATTCCACGTATAAGCGAGATCATGTGATGTTTGTCTTTCGCTGCCTGGCTTATTTCACTTAGCATAATATTCTCCAGGTCCATCCATACTGTCCCAAAGGGTACGAGATTCTTCTTCTTTACAGCTGCGTAGTATTCCATGGTGTAAATGTCCCACAGCTTTTTTATCCACTCATCTACTGATGGGCACTTGGGCTGTTTCCAGATCTTAGCTATTGTAAACTGTGCTGCTATGAACATCGGGGTACATATATCCTTTCTGATGAATGTTTCAGGATTCTTAGGATACATTCCTAGGAGTGGAATCACTGGGTCAAAAGGCAGCTCCATTTTTAATTTTTTGAGGAACCTCCATACTGTTTTCCATAGTGGCTGCACCAGTCTGCATTCCCACCAGCAGTGTACTAGGGTTCCCCTTTCTCCACACCCTCGCCAGCACATGTCGTTTGTTGATTTGTTGATGGCAGCCATTCTGACAGGTGTGAAGTGATACCTCATTGTGGTTTTAATTTGCATCTCTCTGATGATTAGCGACGTTGAGCATTTTCTCATGTGTCTCTTGGCCATCTGTATGTCCTCTTTGGAGAAGTGTCTATTCAAGTCCTTTGCCCATTTCTTAATTGGGTTGTTTGTCTTCCTCTTGCTGAGTACTATGAGTTCTTTGTACACTTTGGAAATTAGCCCCTTATCAGATACATCCTTGGCAAATATGTTTTCCCAGACCGTGGGGTTCCTTTGTATTTTGAGGCTGTTTTCTTTTGCTGTGCAGAAGCTTTTTAGTTTGATGTAGTCCCATATGTTTATTTTTTCTTTTGTTTCTCTTGCCCTAGGAGATGTATCAGTGAAAATTCCACTACGTGGGATGTCTGTGACTTTACTGCCTATGTTTTCTTCCAGGATTTTTATGGTTTTGCGACTTACATTTAAGTCTTTTATCCATTTTGAGTTTATTTTTGTGTATGGTGAAAGTTGGTGGCCTAGTTTCATTTTTTTGCATGTATCTGTCTAATTTTCCCAGCCCCACGTATTGAAGAGACTGTCTTTACTCCATTGGATGCTCTTGCATCCTTTCTCAAATATTAACTGACCATAATGGCGTGGGTCTATTTCTGGGGTCTCTGTTCTGTTCCATTGATCTATATGTCTGTTGTTGTACCAATACCAGGCTGTTTTGATTACAATGGCCTTGTAATACAGTTTGATGTCTGGTAAAGTGATCCTTCCCACTCTTCTTTTTTCTCAAGATGGCTACAGCTATTCAGGGTCTTTTACCTGAGCACTTTTTAAGATGAATGTTAAACCACAAAAATGTTTCCAGTATGATAATACTCAAAGATGCTTCAGGTATCATCTCCCCTAATCTAAATACTTCATTTAAAAAAAAATAAAAGTAATGTACAGCTAGTGGCTGCTAGGACTCTGGAGTAAACCGATTAGGCACGGGGTCACCACTGCTCTGTCCTGCCCAGGCCGGCAGGGACTAGACGGATCACAGGACCTGACAGTATTCGGAGCACAAACATGCTTATAATGTGACCATCCCTTTTATCTAAAAAAAGTTCTCTAAGAGTTTTTTCAATTCAGAAATAGATTAAGAACTTCTTTTGAAAAGATTAATCACATTTAGGGAACAACTTCCTCTTTAAAATGTACAAGGAGATTGTGGACAACAACGTCAACAGGAACAAGGAAAACCCCGGTCATTGGTGCCGACATCTGGGGCCCGTGTATAAAAGCTCCAGAAAGGAAGGAGCCGTGAGAACCTGAGAAACTCACCTGTGAACAGGAACCCACCCTCCACACCTGCCAAAATGTGCTGCTCCCCTTGCTGCCAGCCCACCTGCTGCAGGACCACCTGCTGCAGAACCACCTGCTGCAGCCCTTGCTGTGGGCCCTGCTGCTGCCAGCCTTGCTGCAGCCCTTGCTGTGGGTCCAGCTGCTGCCAGCCTTGCTGCAGCCCTTGCTGTGGGCCCTGCTGCTGCCAGCCTTGCTGCAGCCCAACCTGCTGTCAGACCACCTGCTGCAGGACCACCTGCTGCCGCCCCTGCTGTGTGAGCAGCTGCTGCCAGCCTTGCTGCTGTTGCACTCCCTGCTGCCAGCCCAGCTGCTGTGGGTCCTGCTGCTGCCAGCCTTGCTGCCGCCCAACCTGCTGTCAGACCACCTGCTGCAGGACCACCTGCTGCCGCCCCTGCTGTGTGTCCAGCTGCTGCCAGCCTTGCTGCTGCTGATCATCTCCCCATAGAACCACCATCTGGAGACAACACATTCTGTTAACTAATGTGCCACTTAAGACAATTCACTACCTTGACTTTGATGAGAACCAGCATGTTATCACCAAAATCTCTATTATTCATCTGGCTATTTAGGAACTTGTGAATCAGTTTGATGCAGTGCAGACAATTTCCCTCAATTCTGTTTCTCCCATGTGCATGGGCCATGTGACACCTTCATACATCATCGATGAGAAGTAATGCTTTTGGCTTTCAATTGGAGTCAGGATCTCTTGCTCCCTTTATGTAACTTCTCTTCATAACTTTTTAATAGGTTTCTGCAATCAATCGGCATAATCATGTTTTCTTTTCAATGTATGCATAGTTCTTTCTCCTATTTCTTATTTTCATAATCACTTTGAAAACACTCCCTTGATGCTGGGATCTGTATGCTTCTTAATAAAATCTCTAACATTTTTATCCCATATTGTGTTTTCTTTTGCTGTACAGTAGTCCTGACGTCGGAACTCATACTCTTATTGCATCCCATGTGCAGTACCCAGTAAGAACTGCAAAACAGCCTGCCACAAATTATTATCCACATTTTTAGATGAGAAAATCTCATTGTGCAATGTCATGTAGCTAATAATGGACATGCTGAGATCCAGGATGGGCTCTTCTGTTCTTGCTCAAGGGCACCTTCATTCACATGTCAATACAAGTAGCAGTGACACTGAGTACTGAGGTCTAGTAAGATGTGAAACTGATTTTCTACTTCAACAATGGCAGGAATAATCCCTCATATGTATGGATAATGTCTGTTTAAAACATTCCTCCCAAGTCAGTGTCCCACAGCTCAGTCCCTGCAGCTGCATGTTAGGGCAGGAGGGACAGCATTTTAGCCCCCTCTTGAGGGCAGAGTCTTTCCTGTCTCAGGGATTGTTTAGCCACTCATCTGCATCTAATTATTTTTAGCATCCTTATGTCGTCTTGACAGTCTCATTGAAAGGGACTTCTTCCTGAGTCTCATGCAAATCAGATTCTGAATTGACATCTTCTCCTGAGTAGCTATCAGCAGAGCAAGGAATTAAGTGCCTTCCTGCCAAAAAAAGATAATATATTGTATTCCCCTATTTTATGGTAATTTTTCCTCCTGGCCCAAATGCTTTTAAGAAATTTAATTAAGGACAAAGTTAGAGAGTGGGAACCAATGAACTGGGCATTTATGACTTTCAGCAATGCAAATCCTCTAAACCACCTAAAGGAACAAAACAACTTCCTGTGTTCCTGTGATGAACTGGAAGCATCCAAGGGAAACGCAAGCTTATGATTCTGCAGGATTCTGAATAATGTGAGAAAGAAGAAAAGTAGAAGAACCTGTGTGTTCATAGGTGTCGTGATGACAGAAGAATGCGCTTTGGTCTTTAAGTGGCGTCGCTGCCGGAGCGCTTAGTGAGGAAGGCCTGCTTCCGGCTCTGAGACGCACAGAAGGGTTGGAAGTCTGTGCCATGCTTCAGACCCGGAGCAAATCCATGATGAACTAACAAGGCCGGTGCCCAGGATGAATGCCAGCTTCTGAGAGTACGGATCTGCGCTGCTCTGAAGAGACCTCCAAGGCCACACTTTGTGACTGTTGTCTCTTACTGGGCGTTTGGGTGAGTCAGGTGCAGAACCTACACGTTCCTGACTGCCGACAATCTGCTAGATATTCATTAAAGGCTTCGAGTACATATTTTTAATTGTTGAGGAAGATTTAAGGTTGAAATATATATGTACGGTCTTGCTTCGGAAAAGAAGAAATTAAGACTGTGGTAGGTAAATGAAAGCCACAGTTTGCATTCTCACAGGAAATGCCTGAGGAGATGATTCAGGCGCAGACATTTTATTTAGGGGGTGCGGATCACTCTGGCAGAGAGCTGAGAAGATGATGTAGGCAATGGTGCACACAGAGCCAGTATCAAGTTTGCAACTGAAGCTTAAACATGAAGGAAAACTATCAGGGATGCTGGAAAACACACATGTTAGTGTCGTCATACGTGATGAAGGAAGGAGCCGGAGTCTTTATAGAAAGCTGTCCAGAACCCCTGGGTAGGTGTTTTCCTTAGGTGACAGCACAGGACCGCATGCCCTCCGCCGCTGCACGCAGAGAGCCTGAGACATAAAAGTGCACGCCTGGCCGAAGGCAACTGGTCCGAGCACACTCAGAGCCAAGAGGTGCGGGTGGGAGTCTCAGTCTGTCGCAGGTGCTGTGACAGATGATTAATCGGTGGCTGCCTCAGACAGTCGCATGCACCTCTCACAGTTCAGTGGGCTGGGGAGTCCAAGGTCAGGTTTTCAGCGGATCAGGTGTCTGGGTGAACCTACCTTCTGGTTTGCGGACGGCAGCCTAACTGCCATATCTTCCACTGACAGGGAAAAAGGGGGGGTGGCTCCGGTCTCTTTTTCTTATTACCAGGACACTGATGCCATCCCGGGGAACTTGTCCTCATACCCGCAGCCCAATCTAGTTACCTCTTACACATCCCTCCTCCGAAGGCCAGCCCTTTGGGGGCTGGGGCGTCGGCACATCGATTTTGGAAATGGCAGCGCGCAGCAGACCCATCCCCTGCAGCCTGCCCTTCGCTCCTCCCAGACCGCCCTTTAGGCCTTGGACAGCCACAGCTTCTAGAATGAGACGAAAGGGAGGAGGGGGAGGAGGAAAGGGAACTAGAGGAAAGGGACGTCACTCCTCAAGAAACTAGGAAAAGGAGAATTAGGAAAGACCAAAGTTAGTACAAGGAAGGAAGGAACCAAGTAAGAGCTGAAAGAATCAAAATAGAGACTTAAAAGACAAAAGAAAAGATGAGTGAAACTAAGAGCTGGTATTTAAAAAGAGAAACAAATTGAAAAAAACCCTTGGCTAGAATCACCAAGAAAAACAGGGAGAGGACTCAAATAAATAAAATCAGAAAGGAAAGATGGTACGATTTACATCAGAAAAATACAAAGGCTCATAAGAGAGTGCTAAGAACAATTATATGCCAATAAATTGGATAATCTTGAAGAAATGGGTAACTTCCTAAAAACAAAAACCTACCAAGAATAATTCATAAAAAATAGAAAATCTGAGCAGAGTCATACTAGTAATAAATTGACTCCATAATATAAAACCTCCCATAAACAAAAGTCTAGGAGCAGATGGTTTCACTAGTGAATTCCACCAACCACTTAAAGAAGAATTAATACCCATGTTTCTCAAACTCTTCCAAATAATAGAAGAGGAGGGAACACTTCCAATCCCATTTATAAGGCCAGCATTACCCTGATATCAGCATTACCCTGTCACATGCAAAAGAGTGTTAAGAATCACTATCTTACACCATATACAAAAATTAACTCAAGGATTAAACTTGAATGTAAGATGAAAACCGCAGAACTCCTCGACAAAATATACACAGTAAGCTCCTTGCCATGGATCTTGCCAATGATTCTTTTTGGGTATGACAAAAAAATAAACAAGTAGAACTACACAAAACTAAAAAGCTTCTGCACAGCAAAGAAAAACGCCACAAAATGAAAAGGCAAACTACCGGATGAAAGAAAAGATTTGCCAATCATATATCACATAAGGGGTTAATTTATATATATATATAAAAACTCATACAGGTCCATCATAAAGACAAACAAAGAAACAAACAATTTAATTGAAAAATGGGCAGAGGATCTGAGTAGACATTTTGCCTGAAAAAAACCCTCCTATACCGATGGCTATGAGGCACATGGAGAGGTGCTCAACAAAAGATCGTCAGAAAAATGCAAATTAAAAACAAAATGAGGTATCACCTCACACCTGTTACAACAATGATACTCAAAAAGACAAGGCCTAACAAGTGCTGGTGAGGTTGTGGAGGAAAGGGAGCCCTTGTACACTGCTGGTGGAAATGTAAATTGGAGCAGTCACTACAGAACACAATGGGGTTTCCTCAAAAATAAACATAGAACTACCTTGTGACCCAGCTATTCTACTTCTGGGTATTTATCAGAAGAAAACAAAAATGCTAACTTTAAAAGATATATGCACCCCCATGTTCATTGCAGCATATTTATAATAGCCAAGATATGAAAACAACCTAAGTGTTCACTGATGGAAAATGGATGAATGGGTGAAGAAACATATATACATATATAAAATGAAACTTTATTCAGCCATAAAAAAAGAAAAACTTTTCATCTGCAACAGCATGGACTTTAAGGGCATTACGCTAAGTGACATGTCAAACAGACAAAGACAAATACTACGTGATCTGATCATATGTGGAATGTAAGATAACAAAACTGAGCTTATAGATACAGAGGACACACTGGAGGTGGCCAGAGGTGGGGAGTGGACATGAGGGAAATGGGCAGGGGGGGGTCAAAAGACACAAACTTGCAGTTATGAAAAAATAGTTATAAATTTAATGTATAGCATGGCGACTATCGTTAATAATACTTTTATGTATATTTCAAAGTTAAGAGAGTAGATCATAAAGTTCTCATCACAAGAAAACAAACTGGTAACTATGGATGATGACAGACGTTAACTAGACTTATTGTGGTGATCATTTTACAATATATACAAATATGAATTACAATGTCCTACACCTGAAACTAATATAATGTTATATGTCGATTATACCTCAATAAGAAAATAAGCATATGTACACCACTGAATCCAGAAGTCTTGTAATATCAAGGAGAGCAGGTGACCCTGCTGGTAGTGAAATGCTGAGTCTCTGCTCCATTCTTTCTACACTGCTGACTATGTGCTTTCCCTATGACATGGCAATTTCACTCCTACAAATTTACCTAGAAAGAGACAATGGGGCACAAAAACATTTAAAAATTTATGGCTGATAATCTTTCACATTTGTTGAAAATATCAATTTACACAATATATATACCTTGGCCACCATCTGTTCTCACATATTGGCCTCAATTTATAAATGAGAGTAAGTGCATGTTAGTATGTCTCACCTGAGATACCGACCCAGTGAGAAAACAGATGGGACATGAATGGATTGATGCTCTGAAACCCAAGGGACTGCTTCTGCCTCTACTCTCTTCTTTCAGTGCTGATTAGCATTAGAAATAAAACGGGCCAGTTACCCAAGTGTCTTTGATGGAACTAGGACACACATTTTGAGTGGTTGCCACAGACACATGCATGCTGGAGCCTTGAATCTGATTTTCTGGGAGCTCAAACTTTAAACTAAAGCAGGGCTTCTCTCAACACAGAGCTGATCAGCTCCTGACATCTCAGGGCTTTCCCTGAGATGTTCCCTGAACATCACCAAAGGAACAAAACTGCAAAGATGCAACTACTCTGACCTTCCCCAAGACAGCAAGAAATATCACATGACCACATGATGTCATATGACCAGAAATGCTCCTGGGGATGATTCCTGACTGTCTCATTTCTGGAAAAGGTTTATGTAGGATTCCCAATTAAGGAAAAGATCAAACAGTAATTTACATAAACCTCAAAACACTTAGGGACCAACTTCCTCCTTGACAATTCCACAATAATTATCAAAACAATGAAAACAACAAAGAGGAAAGACCTGCTTATTGGTCCCAACATTGGGGGTCCAGCGTATAAAAGCCCCAGGAGAGAAGAAATCAACAGAATCTGAGAAGCTCACCTCTGAACAGCAACCCACCCTCCACACCTGACAAAATGTGCTGCTCCCCTTGCTGCCAGCCCACCTGCTGCAGGACCACCTGCTGCAGAACCACCTGCTGCAGGCCCAGCTGCTGTGGGTCCTGCTGCTGCCAGCCTTGCTGCCGCCCTTGCTGTGTGAGCAGCTGCTGCCGGCCTTGCTGCTGTAGCACTCCTTGCTGCCAGCCCAGCTGCTGTGGGTCCAGCTGTGGTGGGTCCTGCTGCTGCCAGCCTTGCTGCCAGCAAGTCTGCTGCTGTCCTGTGCACGTCTGCAGAACCTGCTACCACCCCACCTGCTGCTGCGTGCCTGGGTGCATAGCCTATGGCTGCGGGTCCAGCTGCTGCCAGCCCTGCTGCTGCTGATCACCCTGCCAGAGAACCACCTCCTGTCAACTGACTTGTCATTAAGGAAACAAATTCACCTCTGGACTTTGTTGACAGCCAGCATTTGGGACCATAACTTCTGTGACTCATCTGCCCGTTTAAAGAGTCAGCTTCATGCGGTGCAGGGGACTTCCATCTGTTCTCTTCCTCCCGTGGATGCGGATCGTGTCCCAGCTCTGTGCGTGCTCGATATGCAGTCATGATCTTGGCTTTGACTCTAAGTCAGGGTCAATGGCTCTCTCTAAATAACTTAGTCAAACAAATCTTCATAATTTATTCATAGGTTTCTGTAACTGAGTAATATTCTTCATGATCATATTTCCTTACAATGTACTCATGATTCCTGTATAAGGCTTTCTTCTTTCAGGATCCCTTTGAATTGTCTTATTAGGTGCAGGACTCTTCTCTACGTGTTGCTTAATAAAGTCTATACCATAATTCATCCCTATTGTGTGTGATTTATTGAACAGCATTCCTGATAATGGGGATTTAAATACCTATTGCATACTATAGGCATCATCCATTCTGAGCATCATACTAGCCCCTCACAATTATTATCTACAGTTTTAGAAAAAAACCAAGTTCATTGTGTAATGTCACAAGCTAATGATGAACAGATTCAGATCCAGGTCTGGGTCTTCTGCTCCTGCTCTGAGCCTCAGGTTACTACACCCTTGATAAGCTGTGGTGCTGTCCTTGCTCAGCTAAGGTTGTCTTCAGGCACGAACACACCATGAGACACTCCAGTAAATTCCCACATTCCACATGCACTTTTTCATGCTCTACCTCTTCATGGTAATTATTACTCAGTAAATAGTGACTGCTTTCCCTGCCTGTTATTCTACTGACATGAAAAGTCCAAATGGACCAGACTCTAGTTGTATAATTAGATTATGACCCTGACAAAAAAAGTGCCTTTCATAGAAGTGAAACTTCCAATCCGGAGGAGCCTAAGGGCATGATGGGATAGGAAGCCGATTCCCAAGTATGTTGCAGGGCATTAAAGTGAGAGGGTCACCCTTACTCTCACCCATTGCTGCTCAATCCATGGGTCCTAACTTTTATGGATATATATATTACTNCTCATCTGCCCGTTTAAAGAGTCAGCTTCATGCGGTGCAGGGGACTTCCATCTGTTCTCTTCCTCCCGTGGATGCGGATCGTGTCCCAGCTCTGTGCGTGCTCGATATGCAGTCATGATCTTGGCTTTGACTCTAAGTCAGGATCAATGGCTCCTTCTAAATAACTTAGTCAAACAAATCTTCATAATTTATTCATAGGTTTCTGTATCTGAATAATAATCTTCATGATCATATTTCCTTACAATGTACTCATGATTCCTGTATAAGGCTTTCTTCTTTCAGGATCCCTTTGAATTGTCTTATTAGGTGCAGGACTCTTCTCTATGTGTTGCTTAATAAAGTCTATACCATAATTCATCCCTATTGTGTGTGATTTATTGAACAGCATTCCTGATAATGGGGATTTAAATACCTATTGCATACTATAGGCATCATCCATTCTGAGCATCATACTAGCCCCCCACAATTATCTACAATTTCAGAAAAAAACAAATTCACTGTGTAATGTCACAAGCTAATAATGAACAGATTCAGATCCAGGTCTGGGTCTTCTGTTCCTGCTCAAACGCAGTTACGTTTACATGTCAAGGATGTAGAGGTCTGAGCCTCAAGTTACTACACCCTTGATAAGCTGTGGTGCTGTCCTTGCTCAGCTAAGGTTGTCTTCGGGCACGAACACACCATGAGACACTCCAGTAAATTCCCACATTCNTGTCTTCAGGCACGAACACACCATGAGACACTCCAGTAAATTCCCACATTCCACATGCACTTTTTCATGCTCTACCTCTTCATGGTAATTATTACTCAGTAAATAGTGACTGCTTTCCCTGCCTGTTATTCTACTGACATGAAAAGTCCAAATGGACCAGACTCTAGTTGTATAATTAGATTATGACCCTGACAAAAAAAGTGCCTTTCATAGAAGTGAAACTTCCAATCCGGAGGAGCCTAAGGGCATGATGGGATAGGAAGCCGATTCCCAAGTATGTTGCAGGGCATTAAAGTGAGAGGGTCACCCTTACTCTCACCCATTGCTGCTCAATCCATGGGTCCTAACTTTTATGGATATATATATTACTGCATATGTTTCAACCTAATAATGGTTATTGGATCAAAATATATAGCACACTTAGAAGACAATATATCAGTCCCATAGGTTGTCACCTCTATGGTGGTGTCTTTGCTGCACATCTAGAACCCCATTCCAATTTTTTATGAGGCTAGCAATTTCTCTGTCATGTGATGTCTGGTAGGACAAGTAGATCCACAGGACAAGTAGATCCATGGTTATGTGCCTACTGTTGACCTTGTTCGTCATAAAGTGGGTCTCGTGGTCTAAAATGTTGCTACCCAGCATCCCATGACAATACACTGTAAGCTGGTGGCTAGCGCTGCAGACAGGGAAGACAATTCTACGTGCCAGCCCCGCAATCACAGTAAGGAAGAATTGCTGTCTTTTCAATGTGGAAATGGTACCATGTAGAACATTGCCTCTGTGTGGGTGTTTGTTTTCATGATTGATATTATCGATAAGAGTTCAACATCATTCTCTGTTCATGACAACAGCACATAGAGCACAGGGAGCCGTGGGGAGGGGAAGTCCACACAAAGCCTCTGTCCCTTCCTCCATGGCTACTTGGCTCCTGCTCCCTGTGCACGTGTTGGTGCACCTGAGAAGGGACACAGGATGAGCAATGTCAAGCTCACACATGTCCAGTGTCTCCTAAGCGGTGGATACTCTCTAGGCAGCATTGACGGGAACACAAAGCAGAAACACTTTCTGCCCACAGACCATCTCCATCGACAAGATTCTTCCACAAACGCCTTTATTCCACCCTTACTCCTTCCAGGGCTCAGACCAGTCAGTCAGGCCCTTCACCACTTGCAAACAGTCAATTAACATCTTTTCCTCAGGCCATCTTTTATCCACAAAATGCATCCGTATATAAATAACACTCAATGTACTATTCACATTTCTTTTCATTGAGAATGTTCCCTCTATCCACTGCCTTTGAAATCAGAAGTTGTCGATTTATTTTCATAAAAACTCTCCATTGGGCATAAAATCTGCTATCAATTGGTTATCAATTGATGAATTTTAAGGTGTTCCATGTCCATACATTATAATAATTTCAGGCTGTTCAGGAATAAAATGGGATTGTGCTAAGAATTAATCATCCCTTTGTTCATTAGTCATGGAGGTCAGCACTACCCTGCGCTCTTCTCCCTGGATGTGCCAAGACCTATCTTTATTCCTTGTTTTGGGTGTTTATAATTTGTAACACAAATTTATAGTTTGTGTTAAGTCATGGATACAGAGATAAGCAAAAGAGACCAAAACCTTACGTTATTAAGGAAAAAAAGGAAAAGAAACTGTTCTCTACTAAAAATAAGAGTGAGGAAATAATTTGTTTTGTGATATCCATGGAAAATATGTGAATTGTGGTGTCTCCAAGAAGGTACTGCCAGCAGACTGGCCAACCCAGGGAAAATGAAGGAAGAAACACATCCAGATTAATCCATCGGTAGACAATACGTAAGATGGTAGTTGAAAAATACAGAAGTATTTGGAAAGGATGATCACACAGTGTGCTGAGAAATAATTCATGAGTTGCTTTAAGTGTATTCTATCTTTCCCCCCAAACATACAGATAGTCAGTGGCAGACCAGGAACTGAGGCCTCTTCCATATGATTTTAATTCCAATAACCAAAATATATTGTATTCTACCTTCACAAGAGAAAACTTACGGTTGAAAATAAAATCAGAGCTAAATAGGTGCACAATCTTGGAGGAAATTTAGTACAGGAAAAGGATAAGGCAAACTAGAAGCATCTTACAGAACCGGCACAGACACAAGTCATAAGAGCAATAAAATAAATATGGCCATATAGTGTGAGGATATCTCATTCCACTAAACCAAAATCTGATAACATCTAGAATATTTTGAGAAACAACTCTGAACTTTAGCTTAAGAATCAAGATCCATTTTCAAGGTTAGTGACAAGGGCCTTGGGAAAGAATGCACACCATGAAATTCATGCAGTCAACAGGGAAATGCTGTCCTTAGTCAGAAGTGCATCCCACGAGGAGGGAACACGCCAGTGGGCAGCGGGAAGGGAATGAGATTTTGCAGCAGGGACCAGCAGGAGACAAGGTGTGCAATGAGGGAGGAGCTGCTCTGCAACGCTGCTCTCACGGTCTAACCACAGGTGAGCCAGTGAGCAAAAGATGCGGGAGGCCCAGGAGGCCTGGAGGCCCGGGAGGGTGGGCACTCACACAAGGAAGCTCTGTTTGATGGGAGATGCCAGCAAATGGGACGGGTTACCATGGGGGTAGGAAGTCACATCACTACAGGCACCGAAGCGTCTACTGAACTACCAGTCGGCAGACACCGGGATACTGCATCTTTGGTTTGCTGTGTCTGTGAGTGAATTCTCTCCGAGGACTCCAAGGGCATTTTCCACTAATGAGTCTCTCCGAGGCCTCTAAATTCTGTCTTTCTTTTTTTAATCCTTAGTCAATGATATTTTTTCCATTGATTTAAAAAATAATTTTTTTAAGGGCGGAGGAGAGAGAGAGAGAAACATGGATGTGAGAGAGACACACCCACTGGGCCGGGGCGGGGCTGGAGCCTGAACCCGCGGTGCGTGTCCTTGGCCAGAAATCGAACCTGCGCTGCGCTTCGGTCTGCGGGATGCCGCTCGAACCACTGAGTGAACGGGCCGGGGCTAAATTTTCCGTCTTGCTCGAGCACAATAACTGATTGCTTGGGCCAATGCTGTCATTCTCAGAAGTCCACAAGCATTCAAGCAGAACATCGAAACAAATATTACAGGGTGCCATGAAATTGTTGTCCATTTCTAGGAGAAAAAGAAGCTCTCTTCCAAAATTCTTTCAAGTTGAGTTTTATAATTTTGCCAAATCTATAAGCCTGGATTTGATTCTTGCAGACTCAGGCATCTGATCTCATTTACACACAAAGGATGAGCCCCCATCCCCTGCCCCTGAGGCATAACAACTTTGTTGATTCTCATAAACTAATATGGCAATTATCACTCACAATTATACCTGAAGCAACTGTAGTTTTTACACTCTATTTCACTAGTTGTTTTTCTGTACTCAAATGCCTAAAAGGGTGGACAAATAATAACAGAAAGGTTATTTTCTGAGCTAAGAATCAGAAGAAATAATTTGGAAAAAAACAAAAACGTTTAGTGGCACCTCCTGCATTCAGGTCAAGCACCTGCTCTTGCCTAAGGAGCTGGAAGACTCAGGTGCAATGTCCTCCCCTCTCTGTGCGGTGCTAGCTGGGCACTGCCCACCTTTGCCTGAGGGCCTCTCCTGACTCTGCACTTCCAGGGTTCACTGCCACTCGCCATTTAAGAAACACACATTCATTCCTACAAGTCCGCACCCAGGGCAGCAGATACTCCGCTCATCTTGATAACATGCCTCCTCTTTAAAGTGCCTGCATAAATTGGTTCTGCTCCTGTTTGTGTCTTAAGGTCAATGTGAGAAGGGCAATCCTGTCATGTGTGGATGATATGACTGTGCATGTAAAATGTCCAAAAATCTATTAATAAACTATCAGAAATAATAAGGGAGTTTGGTTACATGGTCAACATACAAACATGAATTGTCTCTATGTATGTCAGAAACAATTAGAAATTAACATTTTAAGTATAACATATACTAAAATAAAAAATGAATCCCTAGGATACACTATGAGCAATTCTCTGCACAATTCTACTTGTAGATGCTTATCCAACAGAAATGTTCATGTACATTTCCCAAAGGACCTGCACCAACACATTCACAGCAGCACTGTTTGTACTAGTCCCAAACTGCCAACAATCCACATACATATATATCACTGTAAACAAATTAGTTGTATCTGATTCATTCAGTGGAACATTACTCAGCAAGGGGAATGAATGAACTACCAATAATACACGGCTGAGTCTCACAATCTACTAAAGAGAAAGTAGCCAAGCCTATATTATTTCATTCATATAAAGTTTAAAAATACCCATACTGGGAATGAGTGAGTGCTATAATTTGCAGGAGATGGGATAGATTCTATTTCTCAATTGATACTAAATTGGAAATAATAATTTATAAGTTGAAAATTACATATCTGAGCACTTTTTAAGATGAATGTTAAATCACAAAATTGGTTTCAATATGATAATATTCAAAGATACTTCAGGTATCATATCTGCACATCTAAATGCTTCATTTAAAAGAAATAAGAGTACTGTACAGCCAGTGGCCATTAGGACTCTGGAGTAAACCGATTAGGCACAGGGTCACCACTGCTCTGTCCTGCCCAGGCCGGCAGGGACTAGACGGATCACAGGACCTGACAGTATTCGGAGCACAAACATGCTTATAATGTGACCATCCCTTTTATCTAAAAAAAGTTCTCTAAGAGTTTTTTCAATTCAGAAATAGATTAAGAACTTCTTTTGAAAAGATTAATCACACTTAGGGAACAACTTCCTCTTTAAAATGTACAAGGAGATTGTGGACAACAACGTCAACAGGAACAAGGAAAACCCCGGTCATTGGTGCCGACATCTGGGGCCCGTGTATAAAAGCTCCAGAAAGGAAGGAGCCGTGAGAACCTGAGAAACTCACCTGTGAACAGGAACCCACCCTCCACACCTGCCAAAATGTGCTGCTCCCCTTGCTGCCAGCCCACCTGCTGCAGGACCACCTGCTGCAGAACCACCTGCTGCAGCCCTTGCTGTGGGCCCTGCTGCTGCCAGCCTTGCTGCAGCCCTTGCTGTGGGTCCAGCTGCTGCCAGCCTTGCTGCAGCCCTTGCTGTGGGCCCTGCTGCTGCCAGCCTTGCTGCAGCCCAACCTGCTGTCAGACCACCTGCTGCAGGACCACCTGCTGCCGCCCCTGCTGTGTGAGCAGCTGCTGCCAGCCTTGCTGCTGTTGCACTCCCTGCTGCCAGCCCAGCTGCTGTGGGTCCTGCTGCTGCCAGCCTTGCTGCCGCCCAACCTGCTGTCAGACCACCTGCTGCAGGACCACCTGCTGCCGCCCCTGCTGTGTGTCCAGCTGCTGCCAGCCTTGCTGCTGCTGATCATCTCCCCATAGAACCACCATCTGGAGACAACACATTCTGTTAACTAATGTGCCACTTAAGACAATTCACTACCTTGACTTTGATGAGAACCAGCATGTTATCACCAAAATCTCTATTATTCATCTGGCTATTTAGGAACTTGTGAATCAGTTTGATGCAGTGCAGACAATTTCCCTCAATTCTGTTTCTCCCATGTGCATGGGCCATGTGACACCTTCATACATCATCGATGAGAAGTAATGCTTTTGGCTTTCAATTGGAGTCAGGATCTCTTGCTCCCTTTATGTAACTTCTCTTCATAACTTTTTAATAGGTTTCTGCAATCAATCGGCATAATCATGTTTTCTTTTCAATGTATGCATAGTTCTTTCTCCTATTTCTTATTTTCATAATCACTTTGAAAACACTCCCTTGATGCTGGGATCTGTATGCTTCTTAATAAAATCTCTAACATTTTTATCCCATATTGTGTTTTCTTTTGCTGTACAGTAGTCCTGACGTCGGAACTCATACTCTTATTGCATCCCATGTGCAGTACCCAGTAAGAACTGCAAAACAGCCTGCCACAAATTATTATCCACATTTTTAGATGAGAAAATCTCATTGTGCAATGTCATGTAGCTAATAATGGACATGCTGAGATCCAGGATGGGCTCTTCTGTTCTTGCTCAAGGGCACCTTCATTCACATGTCAATACAAGTAGCAGTGACACTGAGTACTGAGGTCTAGTAAGATGTGAAACTGATTTTCTACTTCAACAATGGCAGGAATAATCCCTCATATGTACGGATAATGTCTGTTTACAATATTCCTCCTAAGTCAGTGTCCCACAGCTCAGTCCCTGCAGCTGCATGTTAGGGCAGGAGGGACAGCATATTAGCCCCCTCTTGAGGGCAGAGTCTTTCCTGTCTCAGGTGTTGTTCAGCCACTCATCTGCATCTAATTATTTTTAGCATCCTTATGTCGTCTTGACAGTCTCATTGAAAGGGACTTCTTCCTGAGTCTCATGCAAATCAGATTCTGAACTGACATCTTCTCCTGAGTAGCTATCAGCAGAGCAAGGAATTAAGTCATTTTCTTCCCCCTAAATGAACCATATGTTGTATTCCTCCAATTTATCACCATTTGATCTTCTGGACCAAATGATTTAAAAAAATTGAGTCATAAGATAATCAGGGATCGAGAAACAACACAATGGGCATTTATGAATTTGAGCAATCCATAACCTCTCAACCATATAAGGGGGCAGAACAACCCTTTGTTTTGTGTGAGATAAAAATGAGACATCTGAGGTAAGAGAAAACTTGTGACTCAAAACTTGGGAATCAGGAGAATCTGAGTAAGAAGAAAAGTAGAAGGATCTGTGTGCTCACAGGAGTCATGGGACAGAAGGCTGGCACTTTTTGCACTGTACAGTGGTGCTGCTAGATCAGTCAGGGAGTTAAAGCTCGATTCTGGCTCTGAAAGGACTTAAGAGTTGGGATCTGCCTTAACCCCTAGAGGGTAGTAGAGGGACCTTTGATGACCTAACAAGGCCCATAAAAAGGACACATGCCAACTTCTGAGACTGTGTATCTGGGATGTTCTGAAGAGCCTGCCAAGAGCAGACTTGCTGACTGTTGTCTCTTGGTGAATTTTTGGTTGAATGAGATGAACTAACATGTTTGGATTGCCTAGTAGTTGCTAGATATTTATTAAATGCCTTAGGTGCTTATCTTTAATTCCTGAAGAAAATGTCAATGTTGGAAGATATATTCTCATTTTAGAGAACAAATTAAGACTAAAAGAGGTTACTGAAAGTCATAGCTTTCCTTTTCAGAAAAAATATCCCAAGGAAAGATTCAAGTGCACATAGTTTATTTAGGATGTGCAGACCACACTGGCAGCGAGTTGAGGAGATGATGCAGGGAAAGGTGCATGGGAAGCCAGTATCACAGTTTGCAACTGAAGCTCAAACTTGACGCAAACTATCATAAATGACAGAAAACACACAATTTAGAACTGTCTTACTTGATGAACAAAGGGGCCAGGGTCTTTATCATCAGCTCTGCAGAATCACTGGTCAAATGCTTTTCTTAGGTGACTTCACAGGCAGCATGACTTCCTGTTGCATGAAGAGAGCCCTAAGACATAACACTTCACATCTGGCAGAAGGAAACTGGTCTGAGCACTCTAAGTCTAAGATATGTGGGTGGGTGTCTCAGTCAGTTTGGGGCGTTATAACATACTACTATAGAGTGGGTGGCTCAAACAAAAACATTTATTTCTCAGAGTTCTGCAAGCTAGGAAGTTTAAGTTCAAGGGCTGGAAGGTTAGGTGCGTGGTTGGAAATATTTTTGGCCTGCAGATGGCTGTTTTTTTGTTGTACCCTCTAACGGCGAGGGTGGGGGGCATGCCTCTGGTCTCTCTCACTCATAAGTGCACTAATGACATCATGGGGGCTCATCCTCCTACCACATCCAAACCTAATTACCTTGCAAAGAGCCCACCTCAAATGCTATCACACTGGGGATTATGGTTTCCCCGTAGGAATTTTGGGAGGAGACAAACATTCAGTCCCTAGCAGTGAGGGATTGAAAACTTCATGTACAATCTGCCCTTGGTCCTCTCAGGCCAGTCTCTGCCTCACCAAGGTGGTGGACAGCCACACTTTCCAAAATGAAAAGAACAGGAGGAAGGGAAAGGAAGAATAGGGAGGGCGAGGAGAGGAAGAACGCTTACACCCCAAGGAGCCAAAGAAGGGGGACAGAGGAAGCCCAAGGTTACTACAAGGAAGGAAGTTACAAAGATCAGAGTGGAAATAAGCAGAACAGTGGCTTAAAAAGCAATAGAAAATATCAGGGAAACTAAGAGCCGTTCTTTTAAAAAGATAAACAAAATTGACAAGCCTCTAGCCAGACTCAGCAAGAGAAAACAAGAGAAGGCTCAATAAATAAAATGAAAAACAAAAGAGGAGGCCTTACAACTAATACAGAAATACAAAGGATCCTGAGAGAATATTGAGAACAACCCCATGCCAACAACTTGGACCACGCAGAAGATACAGATGCATTTCTAGAAACACAAACCTACCAAGACTAAACCATAAATAAGTAGAAAACTTAAACAGAGTGTTTACTAGTAACATGATTGAAGGAACACTTCCAAAACCATTTTCTGAGGTCAGCATTACCTTGATACCAAAACCACACAGGGACACCACAATAGAAGAAAATTACAGGCGGATATCCCTGATGAACAGAAATGCAAAATTCCTAACAAAACATTAGCAAACAGAACTCAACAACACATTAAAAGGATCATACAGCATAATCAGGTGGCATTTACTCCAGGAATGCAAAAATGGTACAGCATCTGCAAGCCAACGTGATATAGCACATAAACAAAATGAAGTATAAAATCATATGACCACTTCAATAGATGCATCAATAGATGCATGAAAAGGAATGGACAAAAGTCATCATCCATTTTTGCTAAAAGGTCTCAACAAAATGGGTTAAAGGAAATGTACCTCAACATAATAAAGGCCACATATGACAAGCATACACCTAATGTCATGCTCAATGGTGAAAAGCTGAAAGCTTTTCACTAAGATCAGAAACAAGACAAGAATGCCCACTCTCACCACTTGAATACAACTCAGTTTTGCAAGTCCTAGCCAGAGAAATTAGTTAAAAAATACTAAAAATTAAAAAAAATAAAAGTATCCAAATCAGAAGGGAAGAAATAAAACTGACTGTTTGCAGATGACATATATTATATGTAGAAAAACCAGAAGACACCACCAAAAAAACACATTAGAACTGTTGATGTAAGAACATCCAAGCCTGTAGAGAATTGAGAATTTTTGAAGAGTTTATTTGAGCCAAATGAAGGATCCTGCTGGGAAGCAACATCTTAATTGCTCTGCATAATAATAGTTATAGTTATTTTTACACATTTGGAATTAAGAATAGAATTTAAGGTGGGAGAAAGTAAGGTGGGGAAATCTCTATGATTGGATTGCAGAATCTTTAACAAGATTATGTGCTTCCTTGAGGGTGGTTCCACCTCCAAGGGGTCCAAAAAAGAGGTTTACTCTGGCACTTCAAAGGTGTGTTAATCTACGTGCACAAGAACAATGAACAGGGCTTGCTTAAGGTGAAGATAAACCTTTTACTAAAAAAGTTATAAAAGTGGGGCATGACTACCCACAGACCTAATCAACAAATGAAGAAAAGCTGCAAGGTACAAAATCAACATACAAAAATCTGTTGCTTTTCTACACACCTACAACCAACTACCTGAAAGGGAAATTAAGATAACAATTCATTTATAATTGCATCGAAGAGACTAAAATGGAAGAGGGCACAAACTATGGAAATACATTCTGCACTCATGCATTGGAAAAATTAATATTGTTAAAATGTTCAACTATTCAAAGCAATCTACAGAGTAAATGCAATCCTTATGAAATTTCCAATGGCATTTTTCACAGAAAGAGAAAAAAAATACTAAAATTAATATGGAACCACAAAACCCAGATATGCAGCCAAAGCCATCTCAAGAAACAAGAGCAAATCCGGAGGCATCATACTTCCTGATTTCAAACTGTATTACACACCTATTGCAATAAAAACAGTATTGTATCAGCATAAAAACAGACATAGATCATGGAAACAGAACAGAGCTGAGAAACAAACTCACACATATATGGTTAATATATTTATGACAAAAGAGCCAATAACACACACTGGGGGAAAGACAGTCACCTCAATCAATGATGTTAGAAAAATACGCACAAGAACGTTACCGGACCACTATTATATACCATACAAAAAAATTAAGTAAAAATGAGTTAAAGACTTGAACATAAGACCAGAAACCACCAAACTCCTAAGAGAATACATGGTGGTAGGCTCCTCGATGCTGGTCCTGCAAGTGCTTTTTTGAATATAACACCAACAGCAAAGGCAATAAAATAAACAAGGGGAACTACATCAAACTAAAAAGCTTCTACGGAGCAAAGGAAAGCATCAACGAAATGAAAAGTCAGCCTACTGAGTGGGAGAAAATATTTGCAAATCATATACCTAATGGGGGTTAATATCCAGAATATATAAAAAACTCGTCCAACTATAGAAAACAAACAATTGAATTAAAAAGTGGCAGAGGATCTGAACAGACATTTTGCCAAAGACATACCCTTGGCTAAAGGTACATGAAAAGGTGCTCAACATCACTAACCATCAGGGAAATGCAAATTAAAACACAATGAAATATCACCTCACAGCTGTTACAATGATAATAATAAAAAAGACAAGAGGTCACAAGTGTTGGTGAGGATGTGGAGGAAAGGGGAATCCTGTGCACTGCTGCTGGGAATGTAAATTGGTGCAGCCACAGCGGAAAGCAGTGTGGAGGTGCCTCAAAAATTAAAAGCCAGAACTATGTTATGATCTAGAAATCCCACTTCTAGGTATTTATCTGAAGAAAACAAAAACACTAACTTGAAAAGATATCTGCATCCCATGTTCACTGCAGCATTATTTATAAAAGCCAAGATATGAAAACAATATAAATGTCCATTGATGTATGAATGGATGAAAAATGGAATATTATTCAAACATAAAGAAAAGAAAAACTTTTCATCTGGGACATCTAGACCTTGAGAGCATCATGCTAAATGACATGTCGGACAGAAAAAGACAAATAACATATGATCTCTCTTATATATGGAATATAAAAAAACAAAATTGAGCTTATAGGTACAGAGAACACATTGGTAGTAGGCAGTGGTGGGTGCGCAGGGTGGGCAAATGGATGAAGGGGGTGAAAAGACAAAATCCCGGTTGTGAAATAAATTAGTCATGGGGATGTAATGTACAAAATGCTGACTATAGCACATAATATTGTATTGTGTATTAGAAAGTTACTAAGAGAGAACATCTTAAAGTTTTCATCACAAGAAAAAATTTATAACTATGGATGGTAACAGATGTTATTGTGATCATTTTGCAATATATACAAATATCAAATCAATATGTTTGAAATCTGAAATTAATACACTGTTATACTCCAATTATACCTCAAGGGGGAAAAAAGCATAGACATAAACCAGTAGAATTCAGAAGGCTCACAATATCCGGGACAGCAGAAAAGACTGTTGGTAGTGAAATGTAGAAACACTGTTCTATTCTTTCTAAATTGTTGACTATATGCTAAAACATGGCAATTTCATGCCTACATATGTCCCTAGAAGAGAGAGAGAATGGGGCAGAAACACATTCAAAAATTTATGTGATAATTTTCCACATTTGTTGAAATATACAAATTTCTGTATTTAAATATATTTTGGCCATCACCTTATCCCACCAATTTGCCTCAATTTGTGTAAGAAAGTATGTGCAAGTTGGAATGTCCCATCTGAGATACTGCCCAAGTGAGAAAACAGAGGGAACATGAACGGATTGAGGCTCTGAAGCCCGGGGGCGGCTTCTGCGCCGTCCTGTTTGGGTGCTGACCTGCTTAGAGAAACAGCGGCCAAGCACCAAGACTCTCCCACAGGACAGGAAACATTTCCAGTCGGAGGCCGCAGGCAGGTGCGGGCTGAGCCTTGAATCCCACTTTCCGGGAATCAGACTCACGCAGGGCCTCAGTAATCACAGACCCATCAGCTCCTGACTGCTCAGGGCACCCCTAATCTAAACATGGCCCAGGGAACAACACTGAGAGGACACCCCTGTTCTGACCTCCTTCAAACAGCAGGAAGTAACACGCGATCAGGTGGTGTCACGTGACCTGAAATGTTGCTGGGGAGGTTCCCGACTCTCATTTCTGTAAAAGATTCTTCAGTGGGATTCCCAATTACAGAGAAGATCGAACAGTAATTTATAGAACCCTCAAGACACAAAGGGACCAACTTCCTCCTTGACAATTTCCCCGTGACTACAAAAAAACGTCAACAACAAAGAAAGTCGTGCTTATTGGTCCCATCACTGGGGGTCCAGAGTATAAAAGCCCCAGGAGAGAAGAAATCAACAGAATCTGAGAAGCTCACCTGTGAACAGGAACCCACCCTCCACACCTGACAAAATGTGCTGCTCCCCTTGCTGCCAGCCCACCTGCTGCAGGACCACCTGCTGCAGAACCACCTGCTGCAGGCCCAGCTGCTGTGGGTCCTGCTGCTGCCAGCCTTGCTGCCGCCCTTGCTGTGTGAGCAGCTGCTGCCGGCCTTGCTGCTGCCCAACCTGCTGTCAGACCACCTGCTGTAGGACCACTTGTTGCCAGCCCAGCTGCTGCTGCTGCCAGCCTTGCTGCTGTAGCACCCCCTGCTGCCAGCCCACCTGCTGTGGGTCCTGCTGCTGCCAGCCTTGCTGCTGCCCCAGTTGCTGCTGCACGCCCTGCTGCCAACAGGTTTGCTGCTGTCCTGTGCACGTCTGCAGAACCTGCTACTACCCCACCTGCTGCTGCGTGCCTGGGTGCATAGCCTATGACTGCGGATCCTGCTGCTGCCAGCCTTGCTGCTGCTGATCACCCTGCCAGAGAACCACCATCCACATAAACACCTTCTGTGAACTGACCCGCCATTAAGGAAATAAATTGCCTTCCTTGACTTTGCTGACACCATCATTTGGGACCATCATTTCTGTGACTCATCTACCTGTTTCAAAGTTCTGAGTCAGCTTCACGGAGGTCACAGGACTTCGACCCTCTTCCTGTGCATGTGGATCATGTGTTAGTTCTGTGCATCCTCAATATGGAATTATCGTCTTGACTGATTGTGAAATAGGATCACCCAGGTCTTCTAAATAACTTAGGAAAACATTCTCATAACTTTTTCATAGGTTTCTGAAATTGATCAACAATTTTCATAATCATATTTTCTTTATCAATGTACTCATGGTTCTTGTATTATGCCTTCTTTTCTGATCACTTTGAGTTGTCTTTGTAGAAGCAGGAGTTTTGCCTGTGTTTCTTAATAAATTATATATCATAATTCATCCATATTGTGTTTGATTTATTGTACAGAATTCATTTAAATACATATTGCATACTATATGCATCATTCACTCTGAGCATCGTAAGAGCACACACACCTCACTATTATTATCTCCAACTTTCAGAAAAAACACACAAACTGTTCATTGTGCAATGTCACACAGCTAATAATGAACAGACTCAGATCCAGGACTGGGTGTTCTGTTCCTGTTCAACCTGCTGTCAGACCGCGTCTGCATCTCCAAGATGTAGGTCTGAGACTCCAGTTACATCGGTTGGCAAGCTGTGGTTGCTGTCACTGCTCATTTGTGGTTGTCACTGAGCTTGAACCCACCATAAGACACGCCAGTGAAATCCTGCGTTCCATATGTATTTCTCCCTGCTCTTTACCTCTTCAAGATAATGACCCCCACCAAATAGTAACTGCTTTCTAGGAGTCCAAAATGGCCAGAGGATAGTTGTGTATCTTGACAAAAACGTGCCTTTCAGAGGAGTTAAACCTTCAGCCCAGGAGAGCCTAAAGGTATTATAACACGAGAAGCACAGATTCTTAAGTATGTCACCAGGAGGTAATTTGAGAAGGTTCACGCCAACTTCTGCCCACTTTTTTTATGGATATAGGTGGTCCTACATATATGTCAACCATATAATGGCCATTGGATTGAGGTATATTCCACATCCAGAAGACGGTATATTAACCCTGCAGGTTGTCACCTCTAAGTTGGTGTCTTTGCTGCACATCTAAGAGACTATTTTAACTTCTCATCAGGCCTACAATTTCTGTCATGTGATGTCTGGTAGGACAAGTAGATGCCACGATCTCGTGCCTATTGTTGACCCTGTTCATCATAGAGTGGGTTCCTGGTTCCAAAGTGATGCTATCCAGGATCCTGTGACAATATACTGTGAGCTGGTGGGTACCACTGCAGACAGGGAAGACAACTCTGTGCACCACACATGCAACGGCAGTGAGGAAGAACCGCTATCTTTTCAAGGTGGAAGTGTCTGATGCAAACACTAGCCTCCCTGTGGGGTAGTGAATTTCATGATTGATATTATCGATAAGGGCTCAGTTCCATTCTCTGCTTATGACAACAGCACATACAGCAGAGGCAGCCGAGGTCAGAGCCGTGTTGTTGATCCACACAAAGTGTCTATGCCCGCCACCATGGCTACTTTGTGCATGTTCTCTTGTGCACATACCGGTGCACCTGATGTTCTCACAACAATAAAATCACCCATCGATGCATTTCTCAGAATGTATTACTGTCATTTGCGATGTCAGACTGTACTTACATAGCATCTACATGGCACTGGGTACTGTATGTAATCTAAAGATGATTTAGAGTACACAAGAGGATGTGCGTAGATTACCTGCAAATACTGCACCACTTTATCTAAGGGACTTGGGCATCTGCAGATTTCGGTATCATGGGGGTCCTGGAGCCAATCCCCGTGGGTACTGAGGAACAACTGTCCTGTTCTATATGACTCTAATATCCATAACCAAGATCTAGTGTCTTCTACTCCCACAATATAGAACATATGTTTGAAGATATAATAAGAGGTAAATACATGCATTATCTTTGAGGGATCTGATACAGGAAGCAGATGTGTGAAATGAGAAGCATTTTTTAAAAGTAACAGATAAAAGTAATGAGGAATGAATGCAAATGTCCATATATTTCATGGACCTTTTGTTCCACTGAAACGGATCCTAATATATTTAGAATATACAGGATAAGTATTGTTAAGCACGAAATCTTAGTTGGAAAGGTCAGTGATAAGGGCCTTGGTGGAGGGGGCGGGTGGGGTGTGGAGGCTGAGCATCTTCAAGTTCATGCAGTCCCCAGGGAATTGCTGCCCTTAGTTAGAAGCGCATCCCACGAGGTGGGGAAAACATGCAGAGATTAGAGTAAAATGGATGTGATTTTCAGCACAGAATATCAGGAGACAGTTTGTCTAAGGGGGGGAGAAATTTCTCATCAACGCCATTCAGACTGTCTAATACAAGTGATCTCGTGAGGAAAAGATGCGGAGGGCCCAGGGGAACGGATGCTCATGTAAGGAAGCCCTGTTTATGGGAGATGTTAGCAAACACTCTAGGCTACCGTGGAGGTAGGAACTCACATCACTGTAGGCATCTACACGTCAGCTAAACAACCGGTTGGCAGGTATTGAGATGCTGTGTCAGGGTTTTTTTTAGCATTAGGAGCTAAATTTTATCAGAGGACCCTAAGACTCTGCATTCCTGAGTGTTTGTGAAGTCCCCAAACATCTCTGTCTTGTTGAGTTGGTATAATTTATTGATTGCTGGCATGGTTATCATTCTCTGAGGTCCATAAGCATTCAAAGGCAAAGCATTTTTAAAGAAAAACACAGGCTTACATGAAACAAGTAATCCATTCAACCTGGGATAAATGGAAATCGTCTTTCCATTATTTTAACAAACATACCACAGCTGAACTTCATTCCTGGAGATTTAAAAACATAATCCAATTTTCATAGAAAGGGTGAGCCTACATCTTAGGGAATAACAGCTTTATCCAAATCTATAAAACTAATGTGGCAATTTATTAATTATAACATTATGTGTAACATTGAAGGTTTCATTAAGTCTGTAGGGCCAGTCATTTCTCTATGCAAGCATGCCCCAAAAGACCTCAAATATCAACTAGGAGGCTACTTTCTGAACAAGGAATCAGAGGAGCTAAGTCAGAAACAATACTTAGTGGCATCTCATGCATTCATGTTTTAAAAACATGGTCTTGCTTACGGAACTGGAAGACACATGCCCAGGTCCCTCTCCCCTGTGCCACCTTTGCATGTGCACCTCCCCTGACTCTCAGCTTCCATGGTTGACTAAGAAATACGCATTCATTTTTACAAAATCTTCAACAAGGCTAGAGTCAGTTCTGCTAATGTTGAAACCGTTCTTTTCTCTTTAAGGTGCCTTTGCACAACTTTGCCGTGCTCCTTTTTTTTTTATCTCTTTTAAGTTCTTTCCAGGACAATCTTACATCTTTTGTTTTACTGTTCTTTGGACAACCCTCTAGTCCCCCTCCCCCGAAGTGTGATATTTCTGACATGTTAGTGCACACTTCCTTTCGGTTCATTTCTGCCATAACACTGAAGAGCCAATTATGATATTACATGTCATCAAAGTACAGATCAGGTTTCACAGAAATGTACATGTGAAACCTATGTAATCTTATTAACCAATGCCACCTCCAATAAATTTAATTTAAAAAAATCTATTTTTAGATACTGTGGGATTTCTTTTCCAATCTCTTCCAAACTATAAATACAAAACTGAGCGAAGTAGGTCTGTCTTAGATAGTTGCATGGGCTTCCACATTTTATGTGTTTGTTGATCAGGTGATAATTCAATATGATCAGCTTGTTATTTCTGATCCCTAAATCATACTTTCCTCCCCCAGGGTTTCTTCAGTGAATTGTGCTGATGCTTACATATCCTGTAGTAATTTTCTCTTCCTATCATGTGAGTTGAGTGTTAAAGACAATTTCTCACTTAAGTTCTCCAGAATAATACAATATCATTGTGAAAACAACTAGTTATTGATTTCAGGCAATTAGAAATTTGTTGCCTCTGTTGAAAGTAAATAACGAATCTCAGCAATCTGGTTCCAAGTTTCCCCTTGGAATTCCTCCATAGCATGTGTTTCTGAAAGTGACCCATGGGATATTCCAGTGAACTGTTTAATGTATCTTTATTGACTTCAGAGAGAGAAAGGAAGAGGGAAAGGGAGAGAGATAGAAACATCAATGGTGAGAGTTATTGATCAGCTGCCTCCTGCATGCACCCTACTGAGGATTGAGCCCGAAACCTGGGCATGTGCCCTGACAGGGAATCGAACTGCCATCTCCTGGATCATAGGTCGATGCTCAACCACTGAGCCATGCTGGCCAGGCTCCAGTGTACTGTTTAAAAGAGAATACTAGTTCCCCAAGCCTTGCTCTGCAAGAGCACTGCTGGTTAATCTTGTGGCTCATACAAGTGCCTCGAAAATCCAATGCAGGGAGTCACGTCAGATTCAAATTGGGTCACAGGGAGTGGGGAGGGTATTGCCATATTCAGGGTTCACTTACTTAAAGAAGGTGGAGGAAATAGTGTAAAAACTGAAGGATAAGTGTGTGGGATGCAATCAGAGCATGCATCCTAAACACAATACAAGCAAGTCAAATCCGGCGCCATATACGTATCATAACCACATTGAACTGTTTACAGAAATGCAAGGTTGGTTTAACATTTGAACATGAATCAATGCTTTTAAATCACATTTACTGAATAAAAGAGAATAATCATCAGATTATCTCAATAGGTAAAGAAAAAGCATTTTATAAATTTCAACACATTCAAATATAGAATGCCTTAGCAAATAGGAATAGAAAAAGCCTAGTTCCCCTGATGGAAAGAATCTACAAAAAAGACAGAAAGCTTACTATTTACTTACGAAATATGGAGATTTGTCCCTGCTCTATAGAGACACACACAAAAATCCACTTCACCATTTCATTCAATATTTAACAGTAGGGCCTACCAGTGGACTAAAGAAGGAAAAATTTACAAGATAAAAAGGCTGCCAGGAAATGACTAAAACTATCATCATCTGTAGATGATATGACTGTGTATGTAAAATTTCCACCAAAGAATGTATTGGTAAACTATTAATAAAATAATGAGGGAATTTGGTTACAAGATCAACTCATACATAAATGAATTGTTTTTCTATATGTCAGAAGCAGTTAAAAATGAAATTTTATATTATACCTTACATAGAGCATAAAAATAAAATATCTAGGAAAAAAATCTAATGAAAGGTGGGCAAGACCTCCGCAGAGAACAGAATACTTTGACCAAGCAATTCTGTGAGAAATCTACTGCTAGGTGTGTAAGCATCCAAAGAAATGTTCATATATGTTTGTCAAATGACTTATACAAAAAAATTCATAGGAGCACTATTTTTAAGAGTCCCAAACCGCAAAATACCTACGTATTTCTCAAGGGGACAGTCAACAAATAAACTGTGTCAGATTCATTCAGTGGAAGATTTTGCAGCAACAGCAATAAATGAACTACAAGTAGTTATACTGCTGAATCTCACAATCATAATGTAAAGAAAAACCAGTTCTGTTCTCTTTCATTTTATGTAAAGATCCAGAAGAGTGAAACTGAACTGTAGGGTTACGAGTCAGCAGAGTGATTAGCAAGCACTGGGGAAGAGTGAGGGGGTATAATCTGGAGAGAGTGGGGTTAATGTCTGTTTCTTAACCTGATATTATTACCATGAGTATGTTCATTTTCTAATAATCTATCAAATTGGAAATTAATAATTTGCATACTTTAAAAATGAATAGTATACCTAAAAATAGTTTAAACATGTTAGACCCCAAAGATAAACCAGGTATCATATCAACTAATCTAATTCTCTTGTAAAAAGAGAGAAAGAAAGGGAGGGAGAAAAAGGAGAGAGAGAGGGGAGCGGAGGGGAGGGAACTAAAAGCGTCATCAGTGACTTGAAGTCACTGACTCTGCTGGTAAACAAGGGTAGGACCGGAGTCACACGCCCTTCTCAGTTTGCCCAAAATTGCCCAAGTTACATCCCTGAAAGTCCCGTGTCCAGGGCAATTCTGTCCTGTGTAATAAGAATAACTGGTCGCCCTGGGCATAAAGTGATTGCTGCTTTCTCAGTCCCAGCCTCTGCTTTTGCCCACGTGCTTTGATTCTGCTGTGCGTGTGGAAGTGATAAACGCCAAACGTCCTCTACCCAAGCGTCTGTGATAAAACTGGGATACACAGCTGGGGCAGGTTTCTCCAAGAGACATCTCTCATCATCTAGAATCAGGTTTTTGTGGGCAAACAGCCTGGGACTCAGGTATGGATTCAATTAGTCCCTGTGAACATATCAGCATCATGACACACACCACAGGGAAACTTCCCAGCCTAAGTCAGACAAAGAAGCAAAACACATGTACTGACCCTCATGAGGCTGCCAGGGCCTCTATCACATGCCCGGAATATGACCAAAGCAGGAACTAGCCTGATGATGTGACCACCTTCCTTATTCTGAAAAAGTTTCTATGAGCTATTATGAATTAAGAACATATACAACACTTATTTTCTAAAGATTCAAATCACTTAGGGAATAACTTCCTCCTTGACAATTTCCCTGTGATTACCAAAACAACACAAACAGCAACAAGGAAAGCCCTGCTTATTGGTCCCAACATCGGGGGCCCAGGGTATAAAATCCCCAGCACAGAAGAAGTCATCAGAATCTGAGAAACTCACCTCTGAACAGAAACTCACCTTCTACCCCTGACACCATGTGCTGCTCCCCTTGCTGCCAGCCCACCTGCTGTGGGTCCAGCTGTTGTGGGTCCTGCTGCTGCCAGCCTTGCTGCCGACCATGCTGTGTGTCCAGCTGCTGCCAGCCTTGCTGCCGCCCGACCTGCTGTCAGACCACCTGCTGTAGGACCACCTGCTGCCGGCCCAGCTGCTGCTGCAGCCCGTGCTGTGGGTCCAGCTGCTGCCAGCCTTGCTGCCGCCCTTGCTGTGTGTCCAGCTGCTGCCAGCCTTGCTGCCGCCCCTGCTGTGTGTCCAGCTGCTGCCAGCCTTGCTGCCGCCCAACCTGCTGTCAGACCACCTGCTGTAGGACCACCTGCTGCCGGCCCAGCTGCTGCTGCAGCCCGTGCTGTGGGTCCAGCTGCTGCCAGCCTTGCTGCCGCCCTTGCTGTGTGTCCAGCTGCTGCCAGCCTTGCTGCCGCCCCTGCTGTGTGTCCAGCTGCTGCCAGCCTTGCTGCCGCCCAACCTGCTGTCAGACCACCTGCTGCAGGACCACCTGCTGCCGCCCTTGCTGCTGCTGATCTTCTCACCAAAGAACCACGATCTTCACACAACACCTGTTAACTGACTCGCCAGTTTGGAAACATTCATGTCCTAGACTTTGCTGCCAACAGCATGCTCCACCAGGAGTTCTGTGACTCATTCGGCTGACAAAGCCTCCGAATCCACATGGTGGCGTGCGGAGGGCCCCCAGTCCTCCTCCCGCATGTGTGGATTACATGCCAGCTTCGTGCATCCTCAATATGGGGTCATGGTCTCTGCTTTGACTCTGTGGTCAGGATCTTCACCCTCTCCCTCCATGTTACTTAGAAAAACAAATTCTTGTAACTGCTACTTAGATTTACTGTTACTGTTGAAACTCTTCTGATCCTGTTCCTTTTCCAGTGCACTCGTGGTTTTTGTAATGCTGCTTTCTTCTCATGGTCACTTTGAGTTGACTCCCTAGATACAGGGAGTCTTGCCTTTATTTCTTAATAAATTCTGTGCATTCCATATTGTGTTTTGTTTTACTGTGCAGCACTCCTGATAAGGATGTACACACATGTTGCATATCATATACATTATCCATCCTGAGCCTCATATAGTCTCCCACAAATAATTATCTCCACCCTCCATATGAGAACGTTTCACAGGGTCATGTTATGTAGCTGAAATGGGCAGACTCAGACCCAGCACTGTGTCTTTTGCTTCTGCTCAATGACACTTAAGTTTCTATCTAAGACAAGTTAGGATAAGTCCTGGGACTGAGCACCAGCACGATGTTCATTTGAGCGTCTTTAACAATGGAAGTGATGTTCTCTTGTACGTGCATGCAGATAGCACCTACTTACAGAGTTCTTCCCAAGTCAGTGTCCACACCGCAGCTAGCTGGTAGGGCAGCAAGGGCTGCACGTTAGAGCTCGCCCGCGTGCAGGACCCTTTCCTGTCTCAGGCGCTGCCCAGCCACTCAGGCTTTCCTGGGCATCCAGTGTGACCTCACAAGGAAGAGACTTGTTCTTTGCTATCATGGAAATCAAATTCTTGTATAGCCTCCTTCCTGATTTACCTACAGAGAATAAAAGGAATTAAGTGATTTTCTGCAGAACATTTTATGTTCCCCAACTTTATGGCAATTTGTCATTCTGCCCAAAATATAATTAAGAGAATTTGGTAAGATCAAAGTTGGGGACAAAGAAACTAAGCAATGAGAGAGTATGATTTTGAGTAATGCGGAATACCTGAACCTTCTAAGGAAACAGAACCATCTCCTGTGTTTTGTGAGTCAACTATGAAGCATTTGAGAGAAACAGAAACTTGTGTTCTGGGGTAACTGGAAGAATGTGAGAAAGAGGAAAAGTAGCAGAGCCTGTGCATTCCTGGTCATGCTGGACAGAAGGCAGCTGCTTTGGCCCTGAACTAACAAAGCTGCCTGAGTATTCATTGACGTGAGGCTTTACACTGGTTCTGAGAGAATTAGAAGAAACTTGAACCTGGATCACCTCCTTGGGAACAGCAGAGGTACCCCTGATGAGCTGACCAGGCTGGTATTCAGGACATGTGCTAACTTCTGAGACTGTGTATCTGGGATGCTCTGAAGAGAATGCCAAGAGCAGACTTGCTGACTGCTGTTCCTTGGTGGGTGTTTGGGTGATGGAGATGAGAAACTAACATGTTCTGGGTGACCTACTATTTGTTGGGTGTGCACTCAGTGCTTCATCTATGTATCTTCAATTCTTGAATAAATTTTCAGGGCAGGTATAAATGTTCCCATTTTAGAGATGAGGAACTTGAGACTGAGGAGGTAAAGTGATGCCATAGTTTGGTTTCTCCCAGGAGTTACTCTGAAGAAAAGATTCAAGGGCACATAGTGTATTTGGAAAGTGCAGGTCTCTGGTTGGGAAGTGTGGACTTGATAGAGGAAAGGGGCACTATTAAGCCAGTATCACTGTGGGCAACTGAAACTTATACCTAAGAGAAAATATCAGATATGATGTAAACGCGTTAGGATTATTAACTGGGTAATGGGGAAGCCGACTCTTTACAAAACAACTCTTCAGAAGTAGTGGTTGAATGTTTTCTCAGGGTGACACACACAGGCAGCATGACTTTCTATTGTTGTAAGAAATAAACCCTGAGGCATAGACATGCAGTTCTGGCTGGTATAAATTGACCTGAACAAACTAAGATCCCAGATACATGGATGGGGCACTCAAAACCTCATTTATAGTCTGGCTAGCGTGGCTGAGAGGCTGAGCATCGACTTATGAATCAGGAAATCATGGTCTGATTCCCGGTCTGGGCACATGCCCGGGGTTGCGGGCTCGATCCCCGGGGAATATTGTGCAGGAGGCAGCCAGTCAATGACTCTCTCATCATGGATGTTTCTATCTCTACCCCATCTCTCTGAAATCAATAAAAACATATTTTAAAACTAAACAACAAAAAGCCCCTCATCTACAATTCTCTCCACTCGAATCAAGGATTGGGTTTTTCAGTGCAGTGGGAATCCACATTCTAGACTAAAAGGTAAGAGAAGGAAGGACAAGTTTTGGTGTTGGTAGTGGAGGGAGAGGGAGAGGGAAGTAGGGAGAAGGAAGCAGGGAGGGAGAAAAGGGAGAAAAGAAAACACCACAGTAGAAAGGGGTTCCCTAGCACACTGCTGGTGGGAATGCAGACTGGTGCAGCCACTATGGAAAACACTATGGAGGCTCCTCAAAAAATTAAAAATGGAACTGCCATTTGACCCAGTAATTCCACTGGTAGGAATAAATCCTGAGAATCCTGAAACACTCAGAAAGAACTTATGCACCCCTATGTTCATAGCAGCACAGTTTACAATAGCTAAGATCTGGAAACAGCCCAAGTGCCCATTAGCAGATGAGTGGATAAAAAAGCTGTGGGACATTTACACCATGGAATACTATGCAGCTGTAGAGAAGAAGGATCTCGTACCCTTTGGGACAGTATGGATGGACCTGGAGAGTATTACGCTAAGCGAAATAAGCCAGGCATAGAAAGACAGACATTACATGATCTCACTTATACGTGGAATCTAAAGAACTTAATAAACTGATGAACAGAATATATTCAATGACATGGAAGCATGGATCAGACTGACGAATGTCAGAGGGATGGAGGAGGGCGGGTGGGTGGAGGGGGAGAGAGTAACCAAAGAATTTATATGCAGATATCCACAACCCAAGGACACGGACAATGGTGGGGAGAGGAACTGGGGTGGAGGGTGGGATGGGGTGGAATGGGTCATTGGGGAGAAAAAGGGACATCTTTAATATTTTAAACAAAAATAAAGAAAACAAAACAAAAAGAAAAAGAAAACACCACAGTAAGTGTGTGTCAGTGACATCGGTCCCTGACTCTGCCGGTTAACAAGGATAGGACTGGAGTGACCAACTCACCCTGGTTTGCCCAGACTGCCCCAGTTATACCGATGGTGAGCCCTGTGTCCTGGGCAAGCAGGACTACTGGTCACCCAGGAAATAAAATGCTTTCCTATTCCCAGCTTCTGCCTTTACTCACCTACTTTGGCTCTGCTGTGAATATGGAAGAGATTATGCCCAACAACCTCTACCCAAGTGTCTGGTAGACAGGGATATGCAGGTGGGGTGGGCTGTTCCAGAGAGATGCCTGTCATGGTCTTGAATCAGGCCTTTGTGCACAAAGAGACTTGGACTCAGACATGGTGTCAATTTATCCCCGTGAATGTATCAGCCTCATGCCGCACACCATGGGGAAACTTCCCAGCCTAAGTTAGACGAAGAAACAAAACTGGGGAAGGCATGCATACTGACCCTCATGAGGCCGCCAGGGACTCTGTCACATGCCCAGAATATGACCAAAGCAGGAACTAGCCTGATGATGTGACCACCACCTTCCTTTCATCTATAGAAGTTTCTATGAGCTATTCTCAATTAAGAAGCACATTAAACATTTATTTTCTAAAGATTCAAATCACTTAGGGAACAACTTCCTCCTTGACAATTTCCCTGTGATTACCAAAACAACACAAACAGCAACAAGGAAAGCCCTGCTTATTGGTCCCAACATCGGGGGCCCAGGGTATAAAATCCCCAGCACAGAAGAAGTCATCAGAATCTGAGAAACTCACCTCTGAACAGAAACTCACCTTCTACCCCTGACACCATGTGCTGCTCCCCTTGCTGCCAGCCCACCTGCTGTGGGTCCAGCTGTTGTGGGTCCTGCTGCTGCCAGCCTTGCTGCCGACCATGCTGTGTGTCCAGCTGCTGCCAGCCTTGCTGCCGCCCGACCTGCTGTCAGACCACCTGCTGTAGGACCACCTGCTGCCGGCCCAGCTGCTGCTGCCGCCCCTGCTGTGTGTCCAGCTGCTGCCAGCCTTCCTGCTGCTGATCACCTTGTCGAAGAGCAACCATCTGTGCACAATGTCTTCAGTTAACTGACTGGCCATTTTGGAAACACATTCACTTCCAAACATTGCCGAAAGCCATCATGTGGTCAACAAGATCTTTGTGACTCACCTGCCTGTTTAAAAGCTTGTGAATCATCTCAACAGAGTTCGGAGGACATCACCCTGATTCTTTCCTTGGGTCTTGGGGACCATGTGCCAGCTTCGTGCATCCTCGACGTGGAACGCATCCTCTGGGTAACTTAGGAAAACTAATTCTCATAACTTCTTCTTGGGTTTCTGCCACTGATCTCAATAACAGTCTTCACAATCATGCTTCTTTTCCAATGTACTCGTGGTTCTTATACACTGCTTTTGTATTTCCATGATCACTTCGAGCTGTCTCTGTAGATGCAGGAATTCTTACCTATATTTCTTAATAAATCCTGTACCATTATTCATCCTGAGTTGTGTTTTGTTTTATTATACAGCATTCTTGATATAGGGGCCTATATCATATTGCACCCTGTATGCATTTCCATTCTGAGCCTCACAACAGCCTCCTTCAAGTTATATCCCCCATTTGTTCAGATGAGAACATTTCTCTGTGTAATGGAGCTAAAACTGGACAGACTCAGATCAAAGACCGGGCTCCCTGCTCCTCTCAAGGGCACTTACATTTACATATTGGGACAAGTAGAGAGGAGACTGGGACTGAACACCAGCAACCTGTGCACATGAGTTTCTTCTTTAATGATGGAAGGAATTCTCTCCTCTATACGCAGACAACCTTTGTGTTTACAGAGTTCTTCCCAAGTCCCAGTCCTGCACCCTAGCGAGCAGGAGCTGTTTCGGTGAGGACAGCAGTGAGCTGCAGGTAGGGGACACTGACGGCGTTTGGGTGCTCTCATGAATGCCTGGAAACTTCACTGCCTCAGGCTCTGACCAGCCCCTCATGCAATTTATCGGCATCAAATAATTTTGACCATCCACTGTGTCCTCTTTAGACAGGCTTGTTTATCGGGACTTGTTCTTGGCAGCATGTAAATCAAATTCTTGTATGGTCTCCTCCTGAGTACCTGTTTTAGAGCAAAAAGGAATGAAGTAATTTCCTGCAAAACATAGGCCCTATATGGTGAACCCCAACTTTAAGCCAACTTGCTTAACACATCAAGGGCTTGACATCAGTCCCTGCTGCTGACAAATAGCACATTCAGTAGAGGCAGCTGTGGCGACAGAGAGCTCATGCTGCTGGTTCCGTGCAAAGCCTCTGTCCCTGCCACCATGGCTGCTTTGTTTGTGGCCTATGAAAGCACTGGGGCACCTGAGGAGGGACACGGGATGAGCTATGCCAGACTCCTGATTGCCCTGTGCCTCCTAAGCGGTGGATACTGTCTGGTGGGCATTGATGTGGGACACAAAGAGGGAATACTTTCCGGCCATACACCTAGTTATATCTACATGACTCTTCTCCAAATCTCTGTATCTCTAATCTTTCAATCTTGCTCCCTCCAGGTCTCAGACCAATGAACCGTGCTTTTCACCACCTGCCAACAGCCCATGAACATCATTTCCTTGTCCACTTTTCTTCTAAACAAAATTTATAACCAGGTGTACTGCTCACAGTTCTTGTCACTGGGAGTATTTTCACTTCCCACTGCCTTTTTCAGACCAGAAGTTGTTGATCTATTTTAGTAAAAATTCCATATGTGGTATAATGGTTGCTATTGGGGCTGCCAAATTGATAAAACTTAAGGAATTTCATGGTCCTATGTCATATTCCATTAGGTTTCTGCAGGAATAAATGGGGCTGTAAGCAAACCGTGCCTCCTTTAGTCATTTAGGTCAGCACTGGACTCTGGATGTGCTATAGCTTCTTATTAGTACCTTGGCCTGGAGGTTAAATTTGTAAATTTGAGGTAAGATGGGGATACAGGTGTAAACAAGAGAGGCAAATCCCAATTATTGAGGAGAAAGGAAAGGCAAGTAAACTATTCTTTACTATTAAGGATTATAAATAAAATTTGTCTTTGTGATATCCCTTGAAAATGTAAGAATTATGATCTCTTAAAGAAGGCATCTGCCTACAGACTGACTGATCTAGTAAAGGAGGCGGAAGGAGAGAAAGAAATAATTCCAGATTAACCCATGGGTGGACATACTATTTAAGATGGAAGTGGGAAAAAGAAAGAAATAGACAAAGTGACACCATATATGAGAAACATTCGTGAGGGTGAATAAATATATCCTGTATTTCCCCCCAAACACATAGCTAGTGAGTAACAGAACAGGAATTTGAAGACTCTTCCGTATAATTCTAATTCCCATAACCAAGATCTGCTGTCTTCTTTTCCACAACAGGGATCTTATTGTTGAAGATAAAACTGGAGATGGCTAGATGCACAGTCGGGGAGGGAATTTAGTACAGACAATGGGGGATGCAAACTTGTAGCATCCTTACAAAACCGGCTCACAAAAGAGTAGGCTCTGTAATGGGGTGGGGGTGGGAGCTAGGGGCTCTGTAGAACTTTTTCCTCTCTTTCCTTCTACAGGTTTGTAGTTGTAGGCTTTACATTTAGATGTATAATCCATTTTGAGTTGGTTTTGTATAAGATGTGAATTATGGGCCCAAGTGCTTTCCCCCTCCCATCGATATTTAGTTATTCCAGCACCGTTTATTCAAAACACCACACTTTCTCTGAATATTAACTTGACACCTTTTTCAAAAATTCAATGCGTAATGTAGGTCTGGCTCTATTTCTGGGTGCTGCCTCACCGCCGCTGTTGCCCAGTCTGTCGTGGATCCTCTTGTTGCTGAGCTTTGTTTCTCAACACCAGCCCCGAGTCAGCTACCAGTGTATTAATCTTGTTCTCATTTCCTTTATCCCTCTGTCCTAATCTGTTATTATGTTTATTAAAAAGCAAGAATTTAAACTAAATACCACACAAAACCTCCAATGACCCAATGTCTACATTACTTCATGGGACAGGCTTGGCCTTCACACTGAACTGTGAAGTAACTATGTCTCAATAAATACATACTCTCTTGGTATCGGAAACATCTGTGGCCCTCAATTGTTTTTAGTGTTGATTTTGAACTGGAGATAAGTTTGGATATTTATTATAGGAACAAAAAAACTGATTTTGCATATATTGATCAAAGCCCAAATCTGAGAAAATGCCAAATAATTAGCTTTCCTCCAACTAGATTGCCCACATTGTCTGCCATCTAGTTTATTGACAGAAACCAAGAACGTCTTTTTTACTAAACTGAATTATGAACCACTGAGCAAGGTCCTTGTGCGATGGGCTCTGGGAAGCTCATACGTTGAATGAGACCCAGGCCTCACCCCTCAGGTGAAATCTTGGATTTAGTAGAAAGGCATATGACAAGTGGAGTAGGTCGATAATATTGGTGAGAAAGAGGAGTTGAGTCTATTGGAGAGGAGCAATATATAAAGATTGATTCTTAAAAATAAAATGTGTCAGTCTGAAAATTCAGGGGAATGTGTACGGCTCACAGACACATAAGACAAGACAAAGCGAAGCAGAGGAGTGGATGAAAGCAAAATGTTTATATTCTTATGAAGGCAATCTTTATTTTAAAATTACCAAAAAACAAAAAACACACACACCACTGTCTCATATGCTGCTAGCTTGTGGACTGGGAGCTGGGCCATCTCCCTCCAACTGTTGTGGCTCCATTTTACCTGATTTATACATATATAATGAGCTTCCACGTGAGAAAGCGTTTTTAAAAGGCTTTAAAAGGTTTGGAAATCATTAAATTAAAACAAGAAATTCACATCAATATGAATAATGTGAATAAAATACTAAGGAGGTGGCATAGTGGAAAAACGTATGAGAAATGTTATATTTAAAGTACTAGTAACAAAAACCCCCACAAACCACACCCACCAAACTGGCAAAATTCTCCAACTCTTCCCTGGTCTATGAATTTTCATTTAATTCTGCTGAAGTGAGCATTAAATCTCACGCAAATGGATCTTTCTGATACCACGTCTCCACTCAAGTCCTGAGCGATATGCAGGGGCTGCCTGTATCAGAATAATTAGATACATTATTGTTATATAAAATGAAAATCTCTGTGACCTAAAACTTTCTACATCAGAATCTCTGGGGAATAGGCTGGGAATCTGGCATTATTATCAAATTCCCAGGGTGATTTTTAAGTACACTAATGCTGTAGAGCCACTGCCAACTCTAGCTCTCCAGAGTCACTCACCACCCGCAAGGACGCTCTCCATGCCTCTGTGCCTCTGCATGTGTTGGCATCTCTGGCACAAGTCACTCTCCACCGGTCCCCTTCTAATTCTTTAAGGTCCACGTCTAATGTCCCTTTTTTGCACCATCACTTTTAGACAATTAGTCATTCCTCCAACCATGAGGTAGTCCATAGCACATAGGATTATTCTTTGTATTGTTACTATTTATTTGTTCCTCTCTCTACCTCTCCACTCTGAGTTTTTCAAAGGCGGGGACTATATAATTTATTCAACAGCCATGTATACAGAGCCAGTTCCTGGCCATGCTATGAGCTAGGCATACAGGTTATAAAAAAGATCCATTAGTATATTTTCTTAGGAAGCTCAGGAAAGGTGATGAAAATGGAACTGCCTTATGACCTAGCAATACCACGTCTAGGTATACATATTTTTAAAAAAATCCCAAACATTAATTTGAAATAATATATACACCTCTATGTTCAATGAAGCATTATTTATGATAGCCAAGATATGGAAGCAACCCAAGTGCCCATCAATACATGAGTGGATAAAAAAGCTGTCATACATATATCCAATGGAATATTACTTGGCCATAAATAAGAATGAAATCTTACCATTTGTGACAGCATGGATGAACCTAGAGAGTATTATGCAAAGTGAAATAAGTCAGACAGAGAAAGACAAATGCCATATGATTTCACTTATATGTGGAATCTAAAGAGCAAAATAAACAAATAAAGCAGAAACAGACTCATAGATACAGAGATCAGACTGATGGTTGCCAGAGAGGAAGGTGGCTGGGGAACTGGGTGGAAAAGATGAAGGGATTAAGTACAAATTGGTAGTCACAAAATAGTCACTGGGATGTAAAGTACAGCATAGAGAATACAGTCAGTAATATTGTAATAACTATGTACGGTGCCAGGTGGGTACATGAAATATTGGGGGGACTACTTTTTAAAGTATATGATTGTCTAACCACTATGCTGTACACCTTAAATTAATATAAAACAATATTGAATGTAAACTTAATTGAAAAATAAAGTTAAAAAGAAAACAACACCATGTGAAACACATAGGGAGCATACTCTCAGAACATTAGAAGTGGGCTACCTAAGGGAGGGGCAGCTTGGGTGAAGGGTGTCAGGAAGGGCTTGCTACAGGAGGTAACCACCCCTAAATCTTACTGAACAAGTAGTATGAAGGTTCATGCATGTACCTGGAACAGAATAGGGGAGCTCTCAATCACTGTTTGCTGAATAGATCAGTGAGTGACAATCCATAGCTCTATAGGACTCCAGTTTTATGATTCTATCAAATGCAACAAAGACTTTTTCAAATCAACGTTTCTGACCAACATGCAGCATGCCTGCAAACATGGGCCTGCTATTATGATCCCAATTATGAGTCACTTGGGGTTATTTTAGGCCCCAACACAACCCCTACAGGACCCTGTGCACATTCTGAACATTGAAGACAGTGGGATCAGACACTCACTTTCGCTCACAGGACAGTAATTCTATTTTAAGGGCATTATACATCCCTGGGAATGTTATGTATTGGGGCAATAATGCATTATTTGGATGACACATTATCATTTACTGTGTTTTAGAACAATGTCCTTCCCTCCAGGGAGGCATTTCTTTCTTGCCTACTAAGCAATTTAAAGGTATATGGAGGGAGACAGACACTCAGAGAGCCCAGGGCAGTCGCTGTTTACAAACAGACTTTTAATATCTTAACAATCAGTAAAGCTGAACTGGTGCTACTGTCTGAGCATCATGCTGGTCTGGGATTCCCCCAACCATCACCCCAGAGGGTCATGGTACATATCATAGGGGTTCAGAATGACTCACCCCAAAATGTGTCTCTGTGGTATGCAGATTATTTTGACCTAAAGGCAACTTAGACCCTGTGGGGTCAAGGGGAACTTAACTACCTAAAAGAATTTAAATTAGGGGCCTTGCCCACAATAAGAGTTATTATCAGAAATAAGTTTTCATGACCTATCTATAGCGCAGGGAAAACTTCTAATTACTGAACATCTGCTCTTCTTATTGTTCTGCAAATGACCTTCCACCCCTCTAAAGCCACAGGGCATCTTACTTCACCCTAAACTCAATGCCATGTGTACCTCATTTTAACTTTCTCTCCCCGAACCTTTCATGTATGTAACACACATATGTAACTAAATTTGGTTATTTTCTTTTGTAAATCTATCTCATGTAAATTTAGTTATTAGAACAACTGAAAGAACCAAGGAGGGTACAGGAAAATTTCTTCCTCCCTCAGAAGATTTCTAAAAGTAATGCAGGAGCATGACAAAGTTCTTTTTAATTTTTTTTTCTGTTTATAAAAGAAAAACAAGTCATTAAAGAAAAACTAGAAGATAAAAGTGTTCAGAAGAGCCTTGGCTGGGCGGCAAGGTCAGAGAGTCGTCTGTACACCAAAAGACTGGGAGTCTGATTCCCAGTCAGGGCACATACCCAGGTTGCGGGTTCCACCCTTAGTTGGGGCCCGTATGAAAGGCAACTGACAGATGTTTCTTCTCTCACATCAATGTTTCTCTCTTTCTCTGTCTCCCTCTCTCTCCTTTTCTCTCTCTCTCAAATCAATAAAAACATATCCTCAGGTGAGGATTTATTTTTAAAAAGGTTTCAGAAGAAAATTAAGTTTCCATAAGCCCATCAACCAGAGACAATTACTGTTAATGCTTCTGGTAATTACGTCAATATTTTTCTACATATTTTTTTACCTAGTTGAGGTTACACTGTATATTCTATTTTGTGTAGAAATATAAATATTTTCAGTAACATAAGCACTGTACCAATTCCAGTGGTGATTCCTGAAGGGCTATATCCATTCCAGATACAATTTGTTCTATATAAAGAGGAGATCTGCCAATATTTTCAAACCCAGGAAATGGGACAAGAACATAGTCTAGGTGTCTTGGAGATTCTCCTGACCTCCTAAGTGACCATTTTTTGCTTACAACTGACCACACTGATGAATTTTACCTTATTAAGATTCCATCCTTCTGAGATTTCCTTATATCTGTATTGGACCTGTGACTAAATCTTTTTCCATAAGTAATGCTGCAAAATTGTGGGCATGCTAAGACTCACAGACGGGTAAGAGTGACACACAGACTATTTCATGTCGAGGTCCACAGGACAACTGCTCTATGGAAGGAACTGTAATATCTGTAAACATAGAAGATGCCTACAAGGAAAGAATGACAGGAGATGATTCAGGAGGAAAGAGCAGATGGAGTCCAAGTCAACACATTCAGCTTACAATATTTACCAGCATCTGAACCAAGGTGATGCACACCAAGGAAAACAACCAAGATATGATGTAGGAAGAGTCAACGGGATAAATCCTAATCTATCAGGAAAATGAGACAATGCTTTCCATCCAATTTAGAAAACATAATTTCCCAGTCGAACAATTGCTTACTTAGTAGGGTAAACAATAGCAAGGGAAGAGCTCTCTTAGCAGGGTATAAAAGGGAAGCTGGTGCAAGAAGACTTCAGATTCAAGAAATAACACTCTTCTGGAAACCCACCCAGAACCTACCCCTTCTGATACCATGGTCAATTCCTGTTGTGGCTCTGTCTGCTCTGACCAGGGTTGTGGCCCAGGCCTCTGCCAGGAGACTTGCTGCTGTCCCAGCTGCTGCCAGACTACCTGCTGCCGCCCCAGCTGCTGTGGGTCCAGCTGCTGCAGACCCAGCTGTTGTCAGACCACCTGCTGCAGGACCACCTGCTGCCGCCCCAGCTGCTGCGTGTCCACCTGCTGCAGACCCCAGTGCTACCAGACTGTGTGCTGCCAGCCCACCTGCTGCTGCCCCAGCTGCTGTGTGTCCAGCTGCTGCCGTCCAGTCTGCTGCCAGACCACCTGCTGTAGAACAACCTGCTGCCGCCCCAGCTGCTGTGGTGGTTCTTGTTGCTGAGGCTCCGGCTCTGAGCTTGAACTTCCCTGACCCAATCCATTAGTCCATAGAGAGAGCATCCCATTTAACAAAACATGTGGCATTTCCTGATGTCATGAACTTACAAACAGACCCATGAACTGGTTTGAAAACCCCTGGCCTCTAAATTATTTTATTCTTTTTTGTAGAAACATCTTATTACTAGTTAATCAGAATTTACAGTCAGATTCTGCATAAAAATGTTTTGTAGTTTTGATTCAAAATGCAGGAGTTTTCAAATGTCCCCCTTATAGATACTTCATTCTAATGTTTTTCTATGGAATCCATTTCCATGTGGAATTGCTTGATATTCTCCAATAAAACTTTTGGCATGCAAAGGCACTAAAAATTGCTCATCTCTCATTATTTCTTATTCATGAAATGTTTGATGGATATTGCTGTCTCTTTTCTGCACAACACAAGATTTCTCAGGGTAACCTACAATAGAAATTTAAGTTTGCACTAATCAATGAGATTTTTATCCAGGCCAGAATTCAGTCTCACAGCAGAAATTTTAAAAAGGTTTAAAGAGAGGCACCTTGCATTTAATACATGTAATATGAGAGCTACCAAAAAAAATAATCCTTAGTAATCTATAATCCATGCATTGATTTAAAACCAATTAAATAGAGGCAGCTCAATACAGAGGATCACCCCTGGACTTGGGAATTAATGTTAGGTCGGTTTTCTGACTATAACATCAGAATGAACTGTATACTGACTATGAACTTAAACATGTTACTTAAACCCTCTCAACCTGACACTGCTTGTCACGCTTAAAAATGTGATTTCACATGACTTAAGTCTGAGAACAATTACAAATTCTAAAGTAAAAACATGAATATAAATGGGGGGGAAAAGGAGACCTAGGCGTAGTCAAGTAAAAGAGAATTTTGAAAAGGTCATAAATGTAAGGACTTCAGAACTGCAAGTCACATTGGATACCCTCCTACCCAGTGACTTTCAAACAGTGAGCTGTGCCATTGAACAGAGTCCAGAAACAGACCCAAAAGCCTATAGGAATTAAGCACAAAAAAATTGTAGTTTAAAATCACCCTGTATGGGGAGAATTATTTTTTAAAAGGTATAGGTCAGCTAGTGAACTTCAGGATAAAGAAAGGAGGAAACAAAGGAGAGCTACTACTTCATTCATTAAACCAAAACAAACTTCATTAGAGTGAAAATTCAATATAAAACAAAATTGGTAAAGTTCTAAAAGAAATCAGGAAGGATTTCCAAGCACAGTCTTAAACTTATGTTAAGCAACGAGAACAAAACACCGAGCACACGCACACACCCTGAAGGGAAAAAATATAGCCAATTAACATAAACAAACATTATCTCAACTGAGTCATCAGTAGATCAGTCATCAGCACTCCTGGAGACACTTTTCCCAAAATTCAAGGTCATATAGCAATCTTAGAATCGTCTTCGACTCCACAATGGGGTTCTCTAGAGCCTTTACCCCACAACAACTTGATATCTGCTTATGTTCCCTCACCTTTCTGTGACAGAACAAGGTCAGGACTTTTCCAGGAAAATGCTGTGTCTGGGCTCATCAAACTTATGACCAAGGCAGACTCAGAACACCAGCCACGCCTCCCAGCAGAGGTCCAATCAGGAGCCCAGGTTGTTACCATCCTGCTTGTGTCCACCTGGAAATTGGACCCACGGCAAAAGTGATAATTGCTCAAGAATTTAAAAGGCAACATGAGGAGTATGGTTTATTAGATGTTTAAGTTGCTTAAGGTAGAAAGGGATCCTCAAAACCCATTTCATCCAATCTCCTCCACCTGCTTCTTGAATGTCCTTCTGTAACACAGGCTTACAGTTCAAGCCCTCCACTGACTATCTGTGGAGGAAGCCATTCCATGAACCACACTCACCATGGTGACTCACATTTGTTTCTGTGAGACACCCACTTATCCTCTATCAGCCCATTACAGTCATTTGGGGCAAGTCAATCTCTCACATACAGCAACCATATGACTAGCTGACTAGTGTTTCAAAAAATGAGGGGCACTGACAGTTCAGTTGGCTCTTTATAAACATTCCCCCCCTTTGGAGTCATGGAAACCCAGGAAAAAGAAGGACACTTACTATAAAATCTGTTTTTGTATTATGTGCTGCCAAATAGGTATCAGTTTCAACTTTAGGATGGTTTCTCGATAGCCATTCCTGTCTTGGATGAGTCATTCTGAGAACAGAGCAGAGGACATCTCAACTTGGTTGAGAGTCTTCTCATAAAATATGGAAACAAGGAATAACATGAGAGTCTTTTCATCAAGCTATTTGAAGCCATCAAGTAAGGGGAGGTTAAATATGTTGAATGACAGAATTATGATTTGAAAAGCTTTAGACATCCTTGCCCAAGACACTAAATCCCACAGGATGAAATGTCAGAGCCTTTCTTAGATCTAGATGAGTAGTTATCAATGCAACATGGCACATGAGTAAAGGAAGGGCTAAATATTGTCTGAATTACTTGGGAGAGTTTATTTGAACCACTCGAACACCCTAATGATGTATTTCCTCTCAGCACCCCTTCCCCAGGTACACCATCATTAATACCAGCCATGGTGTTCCTGGTGTCAGGTGGAAGAAGAGATTGAGAACTGCTGGTCTGCAAATCCATAAGAAAGATTGAAGCAGTTTGTAATGAAAAAGACGTAGGTGTTTCACAAGCTGTAAGTCCACATCTGCTGCCAGACAATGTTGCCATTGTACTCTGAATGCTAACATTGATACATTAACACAAATATGTGTTATTCGGCCTTAGAAGAAATCCTGCCATGTGTGATAACATGGATGGACCTGGAAGACATTATGTTAAGTGAAATAAGTCAGTCACAGAAGGACAAATATTGCAAGAATCCACTTACACAGGATACCTAAGAGTAAAATTTATAGATGTGAATGAAATGGTGGTTTCCAGGGGTGGGAGGAGGAGGGAATGGATAGTTGTTCAATGGGCAGAGAGTTTCAGTTATCCAAAAGAAACAAGTTTTAGTCATCTGCTGTATAATATTGTGCTTGTAACAACAGTATGTTACGGTGCACGTAAAGGCTTGTTAAGAGAGTAGATCTGTAATGTTTCCCATCAGAAAGTCTAGAAAATGGGCCATGATTCACAGTCAGGAGGGGAAATATCATGAGAGTCTATTCTCATGCCAGTGAGGCCCTATTTCACATTCAAAATTTACCTGCCCACCAGACCCACGATGAATGAGCCATGAATCAAACTAAAATGCAGCTTTACCCTCCCAAGTCACCAAGGAGAAGGTGACTGTTAGAGTCTTCACCACCCAAGGGGACATGCTGGGCTGTGCAACCTGAGACTAACACAGACACGGCCTAAGGCACAAGTCACGTGACAGCTCCCTTGGAGGAAGCTGAAGCAGGAGAGGCACAGAAGAGGTGATTCGGGAAGAGCTGAAGTGAGGAGTCCTAACACATCAGGAAAAGGAAGCAATGTTTCCAGCCATCTTGAAAAGGTTAACCAGGAAAACAAACTTGGCTAATTTGATAATGGCCCGTTAATTAGGACAAACAACGACAAGGAAAGAGCACTGCATGTGATGACAGCAGCCCTCAGCAGGGTATAAAAGGGGCCCTGGGGCAAGCAGACTTCCAAACCTTCCAAACTCACCTTCCTAATCCACCTTCCTGGAAACTCACTCAGAACCTCCACCCTCTGCCACCATGGTCAACTCGTGTAGTGGATCTGTCTGCTCCGACCAGGGCTGTGGCCAAGGCTGCGGCCAGGAGACCTGCTGCCGCCCCAGCTGCTGCCAGACCACCTGCTGCAGGACCACCTGCTGCCGCCCCAGCTGCTGTGGCTCCTGCTGTGGCTCCAGCTGCTGCCGCCCCATCTGCTGCCAGACCACCTGCTGCCGCCCCAGCTGCTGTGTGTCCAGCTGCTGCCGCCCCAGCTGCTGTGGTAGCAGCTGCTGCTACCCCTCTTGCTGTGGCTCCAGCTGCTGCAGGCCTACCTGTTGCACCTCTAGCTGCTGCCGCCCCAGCTGCTGCCAGACTACCTGCTGCAGAACCACCTGCTGCCGCCCTAGCTGCTGTGGCTCCTGCTGTGGTTCCAGCTGCTGCCGTCCCTCTTGCTGTGTGTCTAGCTGCTGCCCGACCACCTGCTGCCAGACCACCTGCTGCCGTCCCACCTGCTGCCCAACCACCTGCTGCCAGACCACCTGCTGCCGTCCCACCTGCTGCCCGACCACCTGCTGCCAGACCACCTGCTGCCGCCCTGTCTGCTCTAGTGGTTCTTGCTGCTGATTGTCCTGACCTGCTCCCAACTGTTTTCGTCAACCAATCTTTGTAGTGTAATCCAACGGAACTGAGTCATGCAGGCCAGTTGTAAAACCTCAGATCCAGCTGATTCTTAAACTGACTTTGCCCTCCAGATACACTGTCCCCCATGTTATGATCTTTCTCCCAAATGAACACGAAGTTTGAATTTCCTCTGAACTTTCAACCAACATGTCATCCCAATTGATATATTTCTTTCCTGCCAGATTTTCTCATATGGAGATATCCCTAAATCTTAAATAAATCTTAATTTCCCGAGCATACAAATACAACAGCATCCTGTCTGATTATTATTCCTCCTTAGTTGTCCATTGTCCTGTTGTCCTCTGCAGCGAGCAGAGTATAGCTGGTGATTTCAGGGTGTGCACCTTTCTGCCCTCAGCATCCCTATTTTAATATAGGAAGATGGTTTCTTCCAGCAAACACTTTGACCTCCCTGCCTGCGGACTTTCTCCAGATGAAGAAGCAGGCTCTGGGCGGCAGGGAGCTCCTCTGTAGGAGCAGCGCTCAGCCAGCGGGCGGGAGCGGTGGGTAAACGCTCCGGCATCTTTCCCCTCGGGTGGGGCAAGTTGTACCCGTCTCGGGGGGGCCTCAGTGGGTGCACCCGGCTGCCTCCGGGAGGGAGCTGCTCATGACATCATTCTACATGGGCTTCCGTCGATCCCCTGGGTCACTTTCCAGGCTCCCTTCAGTGCTTCTTCACATTCTCCCCCTAATAGACTATTCGATTGGAAACCCCTGATTTGGAGTAGACATCAGTGTCCCAAATCTCATTACCATCGCCTTTGAAGCATTTTTCATACATGATGAATGGCCGCCCTGCTGTTACAGTCAAGTCTTGAATTACTGTCAACTGAACCGCTAAATCTTTCGAACGTTTTGTTCCTTCTTGCCAGTTTTGAACAATTGTTTTTAGATGAGTAGCCTTCACTTGTTTTTCTCAGACCATTATGCCTGAGAGACAGGACACACCCACAAGGAACGGGGTTCCCCGCCTTAGCAACTCTCATCCCAAAGGAGGCTGCGTCCATGGGGGAAGCACCCCAACCTGGACGTCTTATGTTGGATTTATTGAAAGCAGAGCCTAACACAAGGATCCTTGCAGAAGTGATGTGAAAGGTAGTGTTTTCAGGAGAAGTCAGTAAGAAACGGAGGGAAGCAGGATAGGGTAGTAAAAGAAGATAAGCTAAAACACGGCTGCAGTGGAATTTTATGATAATCTGACCCCACAGACCTGTCCCTCCTGGAGGCAAGGTGGTTGGGGCTTTGTGCTCCTACATCAGTTATCACTAGCTCTGGACCCTCCTGATGGGGAGAAGGGGTGGAGAGCCACACAAGCTCCTGCAGGTGAGAGCAATGACCTGGAAAACATGTGGTTGAACAGGTTTAGCCACCAGCAGTCCACACTCACACCAGCTTGAGGATGGGGTACTTCATGGCAAAAGCGATCTGATAGTATATTATATAGTCTACCCCGGGCACCATTTAGGTCCATGTATTTTTCTCATTAAAGTCACTCCAACTGGTTGGTTACAATTTCTATAGAAATTTACAAGAGGAGGGTTTGTGGGCAGCACCTCTGCTGGTCTAGTAGACCTGCCTGGTGGAGGGACCAAATTCTAGTCCCTGGGGATTCTGAGCCCTTGGTTCCTATGTCCTCAGCTGTTACAATGGCCACAGCTCTTGTACTTGACCCAAATCAGTTAAAACTGGAAATAGAAATACAAAGAATGCCTCAGGAAATCACCTAAATAAACTCCTCCTTGACCCCATTGCTCCTTTCTTTGCCTGCTGATCACCTGGTACTAGAAGCTCAAAGAAATTATGTGATGGCCACAGCTTTAATTCCAACCAGACCTTGATTATGTCTCTTTAGAGGTAACTCTTTTCTGTTAGAGCTAAGACATCTAGATGCACAAGGCCTACGATTATAGGGGAGAGAGGCACACTTCCCCAAATGGATCACTGGGAGTGAAGTTGAATGGGGCAACTCCTCCTTCAACCATGGGTTTCTGGACCAATGTACACAATGAGGGACCATGTTGGCCTTTTCGGTATCCAACTGTCATTGTAAACTAAGATCCTGTATCCAAAAGCATCTGAATGTGCCAATTTTTCCTGAGGAAATGGCTATAGATTCCTTTGGGAAAGGACTAGAGAGATAACTATATACTTCTGTGGTCCTTTGTCTTGGAGAACTGGCCTCTTTTTTGGTGTGTCAGTGGTTTGTGGGTCTGAGAACTGGCACAGATCTGGAAAATGGGTGAGGGAATCATGATTTTCCATTGGGATCAATGATGTCAGCCTTTTGCTCATTTATTCTTAAGTGCTTTTACACACACACACACACATACACACACACACACACACAGATATACAAAACTATATCGCTGTTAGCTGTGAATACTCTATTCTGAGGGCCACCATGCTCTATGGTCCACATTGCTAGGTCACTGTGGGTCACACATCACTCTGCCCGGGTTGTCATTTCACAGTTGCTATTCACTGCATCGGCTACTTGGGCCATATTACCATCCCTCCTACTCCTATGGAGCAAAGTTGTGTGACAATATTCCCTATGGCAAGCTCCAGCTTCAGATAAGAGCCACCCCTGAGCTTCTCAGTATGCTTGTGTCGTATACAGTGTACCCCGCTGAGGGAACACAGCGAGTTGGGTTTTCTGGCCGTATGACTAAGTCTACTCGACCACATTCAGTTCTCTGCACCTTTTGATGCCTTCCTCCTCATGTGTGTGTTGTGTGGTACAAGATAAAATAAAATGGTCATAATTACTAAAAGGTGATGTAGGTGAATGGTATGCAGTAAAAGCGTATTGCCTTTCACTGACAACTAACCTCATTTCACATTTTACTTTGAAATAACTATAGACGCACAGCAATGTCCCACATACCCTTCACCCAATTGCCGCCACTGGCCGCATCTTATCTATCATCCATATCCGAACTTAGAAATTTAGATTAGTTCAAACCACTGATCTTGTCCAGAATTTACCAGTTTTACATGCATGCATGTGTGCGTGTGTGTGTGTGTGTACTTCTATGCAGTATTACCATGGGTACTGTATGAATCTGTGTACCCACCCTCATGATTAAGATCAGAACTGTCCTTCTTCCTTAGGCTTCTCCTATGTAGCCACACCCACTCCCTCCTGCTCATCGCCCAGAACCCCTGGCCACCACTAACTACTCTGTTCTCCATCTCTCTCATTTTATTTCAAGCATGTTCTACAAATGGAATCGGTGGTTGGCTTTTTACACTCAGCATCCTTCCTTTGAGACCATGCAAGTTGTCCAGTGTATCAGTAGCTGTTCTATGTTGTGGACATATATAGTTCGGTTTGTTTAACCGTTCACCTATAAAGGACACCTTAACTGTTTCAGATCCAGCTTTACTCATCACTCATTTATTTGGCCACTCATGCATTCACTTTTGTGGAAAAATTTTACTGAGGCTTCCTACTTGCAGGCAAACGATGCCAGTTTTCAGTTGCGAGACACATCATCTACTTTGAATACTGTTGGATTTAGTAAAGTATCTATTTCCTCTATCTCCTGTTCCTTAGGACTTTTAAAGATTTCATCATAAACCTATCTATTTTCTTCTTGGACTAAAGGGTTCTGAGAGTTCAGTCTTTCTTACAAAAGAATCACTCTTCTTCTGAGAACTAAATTATCACTTTTTTTGGACACTCCCTCAAATGCGGAGGTCATATGGAATTCTTAAGAGGTTTTTTTTCAGACTCCACAATGGGGCTCTCTAGAGCCTTGGCCCCCACAACTTGGTATCTGCTTATGTTCCCTCACCTTTCTGTGACAGAAGAGGCTCAGGACTTTTCCAGGAAAATGCTGTGTCTGGGATCATCAGAGTTATGACCAATACAGACTCAGAACACCAGCCACGCCTCCCAGCAGAGGTCCAATCAGGAGCCCAGGTTGTTACCATCCTGCTTGTGTCCACCTGGAAATTGGACCCACGGCAGAAATGATAATTGGTGAAGAATTTAAAAGGCAACATGAGGAGTTTGGTTTATTAGATGTTTAAGTTGCTTAAGGTAGAAAGGGATCCTCAAAACCCATTTCATCCAATCTCCTCCACCTGCTTCTTGAATGTCCTTCTGTAACACAGGCTTACAGTTCAAGCCCTCCACTGACTATCTGTGGAGGAAGCCATTCCATGAACCACACTCACCATGGTGACTCACATTTGTTTCTGTGAGACACCCACTTATCCTCTATCAGCCCATTACAGTCATTTGGGGCAAGTCAATCTCTCACATACAGCAACCATATGACTAGCTGACTAGTGTTTCAAAAAATGAGGGGCACTGACAGTTCAGTTGGCTCTTTATAAACATTCCCCCCCTTTGGAGTCATGGAAACCCAGGAAAAAGAAGGACACTTACTATAAAATCTGTTTTTGTATTATGTGCTGCCAAATAGGTATCAGTTTCAACTTTAGGATGGTTTCTCGATAGCCATTCCTGTCTTGGATGAGTCATTCTGAGAACAGAGCAGAGGACATCTCAACTTGGTTGAGAGTCTTCTCATAAAATATGGAAACAAGGAATAACATGAGAGTCTTTTCATCAAGCTATTTGAAGCCATCAAGTAAGGGGAGGTTAAATATGTTGAATGACAGAATTATGATTTGAAAAGCTTTAGACATCCTTGCCCAAGACACTAAATCCCACAGGATGAAATGTCAGAGCCTTTCTTAGATCTAGATGAGTAGTTATCAATGCAACACGGTACATGAGTTTGGGGAGCTATATTTAAACTTTGGGGGAAGAATTGATTTGAACCACCCACACATCCTAATGCTGTATTTCCTCTCAGCACCTATTCCCCAGGTACACCATCATTAATACGAGCCATGGTGTTCCTGGTGTCAGGTGGAAGAAGAGATTGAGAACTGCTGGTCTATATCTATCCACAGCAAAACTATAA